CTATCAGAGACTTTTAGACTTCCAGGCTCTCTCTCTCTCATGTTACTAGTATCTAATTAGTGTCTTCGTTTCCCCGTTTTCGGGTGGAGACGTATCTTGACTCGCGTCGCGCTGCAAGTGCATCTGTAACGGTCATGGCTTGCTGAGACCATCGGCGATCAAAAGCTTGACTAGCAATATTAGGACCAATATACGACGTTATGAGACGAATAAAACGACAACTTCCCGTGTATGCTATCTATTGTCTATCTCTATAACAGAGATACCTGTCATTCTATCAATATGCTCGCACTGTTCGATGAACCAACCAACCAACCAACCAACCAACCCCTGTTCACCCACCGCCGCGGAAATGCAGGGCCTGAGGTCTGTGTTCAGCAAAGCCACAGGGATATAGATAACGGGTATGATACCTGATAAGTATTACTGCACTCTTCTTTATGCTATTCTCGCATTGACACTTCTGCCTTGGCATCCACTTGGATGATGTGTATGGTATCTGGTTAGCAGACAGTTGCCTTCGGATCACTTCCGTACCACTGACTGGCTAGTCATGGAGACATACTTACAGGAAGCGACACGGTACTTTGAGTCAATTGACTCATCATATCTCTCGAGACTCAGCATAACGCTTAGACACCTAGCGTCTGAAAGTCAAATGACTCGAGAGCTAACGGACGCAGGACTATAATGTTATACGTCGATCAGGTTGTTTACCTCTGACAGTAGCTTCCTACTAGACCTGCAAGAAACTCAAAACGATGTTCTGTCCGTGACTGGATCATCGTTCATCATTGGCTTTACGCTCGGAGGAGTTCAGACTAACTGCTACGAGGCATACTGCGGTTATACCAATAACCGCGCACACCAGTCGATTAGGTCCAGTCGGAACTGAAATGACTAGGGTTCTATATCAGCGTGCAGGAGGAGCTGCGGCCAGGGAGCTGTCTTGCAGGGGGCGCGGTTGTCTGCAGAAATGCCAGTCTTGAGCTTACTGGTAGGTTGTCTGCATTGCGTGGTGTGTTTGGTTCCGATTGTTGTAGACTTGGGCTAGCAGTGAGTCTGTTGAGAGATACAAAGGGGTGCTCAAGAAGCGACATTCAGTAATAGTACAATAGTGAGGAAACAATGCTCCTATCTAATGAACTTTTCATTCTTTCCATATAAAGCCATTGGTTGCCGAAGACCACTACAACACAAATACATAACATACTTGAGCACAAACAGCGCTATGTACCTGTACATGTGCAATCTCCTTGGATGCTTCTTGCAATATTTCTTTATAGCTAATAAGTATCTTATATGATAACCGACACTATATGTTACGGGAGCGAGGCATATCCAATGCAAAATTGTTTGAACGTCTACATATGACACAATGCCATTCAAGCAAAGCCCAACATTACAGCTATGATAAATTCTGAGGAACCACCAGGAAGATCGTAATCAAAGTAATAGTGTCCAATAATTATCACTATTTCTGCAGCTTGGATAGCAATTTAGCCACATCTATCCAGCAATTCATCTCACCCATACCCTACTATCCTCCGAAACTTCGAGACATCTAGTCTCCTTATAATAAATGTGCATATCACATCATTATATAAACTATTGTCTCTCATCCATCACACGTCTGGGACATTGATACGTCAACATCATATCACAAGCAATAACCACGATCCTCGATCATCCAAGCATTCAGATATCCATGTCCAAGCGTTGTAACACCATAACCCCAATACCAACCACCAACCATTTCTACTACTACTCTCACCCTCTAGCCCCAACAGGAACTAACTCCGATACAGCCCCTACGCAGATACTTAGTTAACCAACAGCAACAATCAAGCCACACGCACATCCTCTCACACCCCCGACCTCGCACATACTCGGCAATATCTGCAGCCATATTACCATACCTACCACTCCCTCATCAGTACCAATTATCTTACATCTTACCATTCTTCACCACCAGCCCTAGCCCAACCTAATCCACAAAACTAAGCATATCATCATTACCCTCACCCACGTGCCATCAAACCCGTCAGACGGACCGTAACCTACAGAGCTAATCATACTATTCCTCTGCCTCTATTGGCTATACTCCCAGACTAACTCCATTTAGGTCGTTTCAAACTGATACCAATCTATGTATGTACCTTCCAGACTAGGTTAACAGTCTGTGGTCGGAGATATATCGGTGTTTATACCACATAGTAAACTGACTAGTTGGCTAGTTGGCTATCGGGAGGGAGCGGGTAGACGGGTGGGTGGGTGGGTGGATTCGTCATCTTTATGCATTCTAGAACGTTGGACTTGATACTTTTTATTTCATTGTGTGGGTAGATGGGGGGATGGAGTGGAAGCATGTGAAGGAAGGAAGGAGGAGGAGGTGTTGGTGACTGGTGGTATGATATTCCTCGGTTTTGAGAAGGGTCTGCCGAGGTATTGATATTGGGGTGGTGTCAGCTTACGGATGGCTTGCGGTTTAGGGTATGCACGAGCTGGATATTTGCGGGGGTTTTTGTGTTGGGGTGGGATGGTTCTGAGTGTAGAAGAGATGGGGGCTGCGAATGGGGATGGGGATGGGTGGTGTAGGGATGGGCTGACGTTGGATGGTGATGTGGTGACGTTTATGGAAAGAGGGTGGGATGAGAACATGTTTACGAGAGGACAGTTCTATTGACTCGTGTTGAAGATTACTTTGTGATTTGGTCATGTAGAATTGATATATAGGGGTTATTCGTGGATGCGATGATGGTATAGGGGTATTGTGGCCGAGTGTACATATAGAGTAGATACTGGGCAGTGCTTGGTAGACATGGACATACACAAGCATCTAGCATGATTGACTCTAATGATAATTAATGCTTGTACTCTACAGTCAGTTCTGTAGATTGTATAAAGTAGTGTGAAGAAATAATAGCACATGGGCCACTACAACTAGATACACAATCTACAAAACAACAATTAATAAACTTAAAAACAAACACCAATCTAGTCACTGACAATGTCTTAACACCTTGCTTCTCAATTTACATTTAATGTCTAACAGCAATACATTAACCCTCTGATCATCACGAGGGGTAATCAGCAAGGGCACCATAACTAGGGGAGGGGGAGGTGGGAGATTAGAGAAGAGATGATCCCCCTCACAGTACTACATATTGTCAATCTACTACTCTGTACTATCACTGACACTGCTCTTAGCAATGATTATCATACCCCTCTCAGGAATATCAAGGGATAGTTACTTCACATATTCACAACAATAGTCAGGTAGTAAGCAGAGTACTTCGTAATCTAGAATGAAACATATTCATCCCTGCCTAGATCGCGAGTCCGACACTAGTCTACTTGAACTAGAACTAGAACTAGAACTACGGAATACACGGAAATGAGCAGAGCAGGCAGGAACCCAGGTTCCGGCGACTTTTTCCTAGGCATATCTCATAGGGTAGTGCAAACAAGTTCCTTAAATCTCAGGTAGATGGTTAGTTAGTTAGTTATACCCGGGCACTCCGATACCCACCACCACCACTGGCATCTCCCCAAACTCTCAAGTCTAGCCCATCATCCACACCAACCCACTCCCTCCTCCTCCTCCTCCTCCTCCTCCTCAATTGAACTAACTCAAACAAGACATCCTACATCCTACAAAGTAAATCGAGCCAAACCCTCAGATCGGTGGCAACACTCACGTAGATAGCTGATAACTGAACAGAACCGCGAAAAATAAATGAAAACTTAGCTAGCTAACTAACTAGAATGATTAGTACGTAGCTGATCAACATCCCGTTTTCCGCACACCCATTCATTCCTCAACCAATCTCAACTCACCTGTCCACGTACTAGTTAGTCTCAGCTTGAAAGTTAGTTTTACGTACCCCCGTTTCCCCCTTTTTCTTGCATTCACTATGTTTCTCAAGAACCACTGTTTTTCCTTGATTCCCAAACATCCGGTTGGCAGGATGATGTGAGCGAAGGATCCGATTTGATTGCGAAATCGATGGATGGTGTGGTGTGGGTGGGTGGAGTGCTTCGAGAAGGTTTTTCGAGGGATTCGATGGATTCTATTCTTTTCTTTTCTTTTTCTTTTGGTTTTCTGGTGGTGGGTGGGACGGAGTTATTTTAAGAGGACTGAACTGATTTTTATGGATTAGGGACTTCTAGACTTTTCTTTCACTTTTATGATTAGTACGGAATATTTCTTTGGTTATGAGGAGGATGCGAAAAGATCTGTAAGTAGTGATAGTTCTGTAGGTATACATTGGCTGGCGATAAGTGTTGTGCATTTTAGTTCAGTTGATTGGTTATTCAGCAATTGGGTGGTGGTGTTCTAGACTTGTGCTATCGTTATGTAGATAGTTATTCCCGATGGCTTTTCTGGATCCGGCTGTATTCACTTGGAGAGTTACTGTATGGGTCCGGGAAGCGGTTCGTTTCTTTGGCCTGCTTTGAGTTCGACTTTTACTTTGTGTTTTAGTAGATTGTTGGTCGAAAGAGGTCGTAGTACTTTGTTTGCTTGGTTGGGAGGGTATCTCATTTCGTGAAGAGTGTCCTGTTTGTTTGGCCGGGAATAGATAATAGATGGTAGTAGTAGATGTAGGGTCTAGAGCGCGTGTTGGTGTGGGAGATTGTAGTATACTAGTGACATGTATAGATGCCGGCGATAGAGTTGGTACTATATGTTCGGTTTCTTCGGTCAGGCATTTCTACAAAGGATATCTTCTGTCACAGTAGATGGGGGAGAATAATCTATTTTACCACTAGCACTCTGTAGTGATCATTAATAAGAGAAAGAACAAAATTGATTAATTGAATCAAGTGTATACTACAGTAGCCTTCATACAAACTACATCCCGTGAGATATACTCGCCACCACAATATATAATTCAGCATCCAGGGATGTATCTAACATACTGCGACAACCCGTCACATCACATAGTCCCGACAATATTCAGTCAGACTCCAGTATTCACAAGTTCCCTACCACACCACTAACAAGCCTCCGATAAACCACGGAGCAGAATGCGGACTCCGTGTCGTAGCATCTGTATATCATCAGGAACCGACGGGAGCGAACCATGGAACGCAACCGATATCCCGACCACGAACCCGACTGACAGATAGCTTTCCATGGTTTAGCTGATTGGATGTACTACATGTTATACAAAATCCTGGACTACTACACCATCCATCGAAAATCAAGCCGAACTAGGCTCCTACGATGTATACATCACTCTGTTGATGACGCGACGCGAAACGAACTACCGTATTTGGCGGGCTCCATCGCTGCTATTGCCACCAGGCTAAAGTAACTGCCGATGTCAGTGGAACTGCTGAAGTTAGGTCTAGGGTTAGGGGAGGGCATCGCACAACGCACAAACCAGGAAAAGAAAAGCGGAGCGCTGCGGTGGAGGGGAAAGATAGAAAAATTGAAGAAAAAGGAAAGGAAAAAGAAAAAAAAAAAAATAGATGGAAAACTTGTCAGACGGAATTCGGGAGTACCAACCCACAGATGGAGCAGCTTATCAGCTGGAAAGAGCGGGTTCATCATTGAGTGGGTCACTTTCATTATTGAGAATCTGCTCTTTCAAGAATTTTCTTTTTTCTTGGACCCGTGTCTTCTGCTTTGACACCGTATGCTTTGGAAACTTGTTGTTCATCCAAGAAGTTGTGGGACCTCTCATGACAGCAGACCATATTTTCAATGCCATGTGTAGAAAAGCGATGCCCAACCTGATGGTATCTAGAAGCGGTCAAGGAATTTTTCCACGGGGATCAAGATCAATCCCCAACGGCACCGAGACGGTGATGGTTGACATCCTTCACCGACTCCAGGGATGCCCGCCTAGGATATTCCAGACCGTTCGGAGATGGAGGGGCACTTAGTACGGAGCACTACTGCCTAATTACGTGACGGATGGACGGATCACGGGCGCCGCCGACCAGGGTCGATGCAAACCGCCAAAGTCCCAAAGTTGTCGGGACGATGAGCGCCAGCCGAGATAAGTAGACTTTTTCTTCCACTTCCTAGCCTGGGATGGCTGCCGACGCTTGCTAGTGTAAGGGCCGGGGTTTCGGGGAAGAGGTTCCTGATTTCCTGCAACGGTACCTGGTGGAGTTGAACGCGCCTGACTGGATCGTAGACGCCCTGCGGGAATTCAATTGAAGATTCATTAGCCATGGTTGTGGAATCTGGCGATCGACCCTTCGCGACGAAGCTGATCGACTGCATCTTTGGTGCAAAGGAGGAAATAGAACGGGTAGCTGCAGGGCAAAGAGCCAAATGGGAAAGCTAGAAGGGGGTTTCTTCGCTTTTCGAGACTGGTTTTTGAGGTTTAGCCCCTTTTTTTGTGTTCCAAAACGCGTGAGAAAAATCGAGTGATGATATCCAAGAGATTGGACTCTAAGCCCACCGAATCACCAAAGGTATGGAGGACACGCTCCCGCCGGAGAAAAGCGAGCCTGGATCGGAAATGATCGATCATGGTTGGGAGGATCGGTATGTACGGGAGTTTTGCACTATTGCCCCCCTCTCTTGACCCCGTGCGCCGGTCTAGGAAATCGATGCATGGTCCGTACGCAGGTGCTCGATATTGCCTGATAGATGAAACCCCAAGCGACTTGTTCCCAAGTTATCGACACCCTTTCGACCAACTGGCAGGTCGTCGTCAACATCTCGCGTCGTTCCTGAACCTGCAAGCTCATAACATCCTTCCATGAGATACAGGACAAGTTGAGGCGTTGACTGGGTCGGACCGCTGCATGGCTCGGAAAGTGGATCAAGCACCCAGGAAGAGATAGTGAACGAATCGAATTTGCCAGGGTTCGACCTCAAGCCGAGGAGGTAGAAATTCGGGCGGCTGGACGTGTGAGAGCAGGCCGAGTGTCTGGATTTGACCTTTCTGCTGTCCATCCTTTTCCGACCTTCTCAAAAGCGTAAGCGCCCCGACTCACCGCTTTATTCCTGCAGGCCGAGCTCCTGGCAGATGAAAGCGGTGAGCCTGGAGTACGTAAGAATGGGTTGCTCAGGCACTAATGCTGATTAGGATTCTGGGGCCTGCATCTGGACGGATCCCTCTGGGTGGAGACGCAGAATCGCTGAAGCCTCTAGGGCTGTTTATCATGGGATGATGGAAGTGACTGTCTGTCTGGCTTATCGCAATCGATGGTTAGCATGATAGCAGTCAGACTATCCCAGTGTTTGTCTTTCTGTAGTTAGTGACATGCATTTGGTGGATAGCGATCGTGACCGGATTGATCCTAGGGGCATGTTGGAAGGGCGCTTCTTGGTAACTCGATAGTCGATACAATGCGCCCAGATGATCCGCAGGCAGTGAGAGCTCAAAGCACCACCCCTCGGTCGTGGCGGTGGAAAGATAAATTAAACTGATTCAATGTTCTGGATAACTATCGGATGTATGCGATCCTCCTGGGGTACTTTTGTGCTCCCCTCATGATCATGTGCGTTTCCCTAGTAACTAACCGTGTCTGGTGGGGTTTCCTTGAGGCCCACCCAGTGATGCCCCACTCGCGTGCCGGGATTTTACGGGAACCTTTGTGGTGGTGGTGATGATGTTGACTATGATAATTATGATGATACTGTGCTGAGATCGAGGATGAAAATAGGCTTCATAATTTCTGTGGTCCAGTATGAAACACATGTATCTGAGACTATTTTAACTCATAGTCGAATACACCTTCCCGCATCATAGATTCAGAACCAAGTCTGGGATTGTCTGTGGTGGTCGAACCAAGGGGCCAAGGACAGGCTCGGAACTATCGTCCACCGTCATCTGACCGTGACACATTTGTACACAGTACTTGCACCGTGTAGATAGCTAACTAGTTACTTGTCTACTTACGTATGTAATCATTCCCCCTCCTCAAGGTGGATCGTTTACTTATTCGACGGAGACGCGGAACGAGGGCGCGTCTCCGAGTGAGGCTGGTTAGGCGCGACTGCGGGCGTGCAGGCAGCCACAAGTAACTTGCCCTAGGGTACCTCTGGCTTCAGACTAACTCTCTCTGTCGAAGGGCCGGATTCCCCATGCCACTTATGCAGTTGGGACTAGGTAGTCGGTCTTAGGTTGATGCATCTTCGGCTTGGATGCCAAACTGCCAAAAACAGAAACAATAGTGTTTGGGGATGATGCAGTCCTGCATCTTCCCAAGCTCCCAAGTTGGATCGCTCCAGAACATGACTTCTGTCTGCTGTCTCAAGCTTTTGCATTATCCATTTAGCGCCCAGGATGGAGTGACTCGGTAGTGTTTGGTGTTCCACGAACAAGGACACCTGATGTAGCCCGCCCACACGCTCGGTGGCCGAATCCACTGGATTGCTTCCAAAGTACTAAGTTGAAGGTGGGGGAAGGAGGGGAAATGGAGTTTGGCAAGCGAGCAAGCAGAATTGGAAACGAAACAGCGTCCATCGCCTTACGGAGGGTTGTTGTTCTTGACCCTTGATTTCCTTCACCTGCTGACGCTGGCTGTCGTGTTGGCGGCCGCTGGAGCAGCTGACCCTGAGCTGAAGTGGGAGGCAAACCATGCGCCATGTTTGAACCTCTGACCACCTTGGACCCAAAGTCATTCTGGCGTTCGCAGTGCATAGCACGATTAGCTTTTTCTGTCAACATAGTTCTTTTTCCCTTTTTCTTATTTTTCCTTTTCTTCTTTTCTTTACCTATTTGGTCCAGGGGACATCCATTGAAGGCCAAGAGGCTTGCCAGAAATTTAGGGATGTTGGGGTGTGTTCTTTAGGCTACCGATAGACTGGGCGATGATCTGTCAAACTGAGAGACATCACATCGTCAGCAATATTCTCCTATTGCTGCGTGATGACGGGTGGCTTTTACCAGCCAAGCACGATTCATCCCCCGTCTTCTATCTGGCTTCAACTGACTTGGCAACGTGAAGGATTAAATTCAGGATGCCGCGCGAAGCTCTTGTGTTTGCGGAAGTGGTTCGCGAAATGCGCTCGCGAACCATTCTATATTTGTACTTTGTAGACGTTCAAATAAACCAACACTCGTCATTGTGATGGATGGAAGAAGGGGAACGGAGGTGAGAGGGGGTCTGGAACAACGGCAGCGCTCGATTTGAAGATCCACCGGGGCTAGTTCTAGTCGGAGTTAGACGGGCAATCCCACTCACACAAATTGGATCGCATGGAAATGAAGTCATGACCAGCCTTGCGGCGGGCGGCCGATTATCAAATAACTAGTGGGTTATCTACGACATAAGTAGGGATTACCGGCGGTGATCCCAGTGAGCCGATTTACCAAAGAGGGGTTAAGGAAGGGTTAGACTTCACGAAGAGGGGAGGAAAGGAGGGGGAGGTTAGAGGGGTTAGAGGGGTAAGGAAGTGGGTGGCGGGATAGAATACAAATGGGGTAACATGAGATGATCTAGAAGAAGAAAAAAAAAAGGAATAAAAAAAGGGATGATGATGATGGTTGAAGATAGTTATGCGGATTATTGAAGGATGAGATGAGTACGTAGGTACGATCAGCGTGAGGAATGGGAGCCCGGTTTGGACGAATCGACCACTTGATTTGGGGGGTGAAGAGATTCCGTGGTGGAAATGAAGGGAGCCAATACACGAATCATGATGGCGGTGCGTCTCCGTGGCATTTTGACGGTGCTGGATCCCTGCCGGAGGGGCAAGGGGGGGGCTGACGAGGGGCGAAAAGAAAAATAATTTTGTAGGTAAAAAAGAGGGGACGGAGGGGAGGGGGGGGAACACTAATCTGTGGGCTGGACGGGAGTTTGTGAGAGACAAGAAGAAAGAGAGAGGGAACGAGTGAAAGTGCGTGTCTGCGATGGATTCTCAATTCAACCTGCAAAACCAGTCTAACCTATTCAAGCCTGTTCCTTTTATCCCCTTCTTCTTCTCATCTACCGAGCACTCTCTTTCCCTCTAATTACTGTGGACCATTTCCATGCAATGACCAAGATACATCGACTGAAATTGTAGTCTAATGCTGTGCCCTGACCTTTGTCTACTGACAATGGTCAATGACAGTCTCTACCTGTCTTCTGGACGGCCCCGCAGCCGACTGTACCAAGTTTGCGATTTCTGCGCTGTCACATAGGGATGGACAAGAGGGATGACTTTTTGGCTTTTCTTCATCTTACTTGCACCCGATACGTTTGAGGTAGTTTACAGCAGGTAATCCGAACCTCACTCAGTCCCTCGGTGCTAGTCATGTCCGCCTCGAGGTTACTAAGACAACCTGAAGTCTTGTCCAGTGTCCTCCTCACTGCATTGTACCCATCGAGTCACCACTTGTACCCACTGAACAAAGTTACATACCATACCGTATGGAGTCCTCATTCCACCCCAAACCCCACTATGAAATAATATCGATGGGAAGTGGGAGTGAGTAAAAGTAGAAAGTCGAGCCTGCCATCCAGCTCCGGCATGGCTTTTGTGTGGTCAGTTAGGCAGGTCGCAGGAATACACCGTAGAAGCTCTGCTGGCCCATTATTATCCTTCTAGGGTCCTGCACTCGACCGCTGAAAGGTGAGCGAGGGGCGCCATCACCAAACAGGGATAGGAGCATTATCCGAGTGGGTTAACCCTAGCAGGGGGTATTTGATCATGAGAGTATCGACTGTGCGCTGTGTAAGAGAGGGGATGTATAATGTTCCCAAGATGTGACGACTAACTACGGTGTACTTTGTAGCCAACCCACCAACAACAAAACTAATCATCATGATAACCATGATCCAAATCTGTCCAGATCACATCTTGAGTCGCGATAACTCACCAGGGGAAACATGTAGGATGCTGCCCAATGTTGTGCATATGAAGAGTAAATTTTCTTTTTTTTTTGCTCGGATTATTTTCTCGGATATTGAGATCATTGTGTTTCTTTTCGATTTTATTTTATTTTATTTTTCATTTTTTCTTCTCATATTTTCCATTTTCCATTTTTGCCTTTTCCAGTAGCAGTAATGGTGGGTGCAAAATGGAAAATGGAGAGTGGATAAGATTCTCCCTCACATCAACCCAAGACCTCTAACAAACGGTCGATTTCAGCCAGTCGAAGGAGGCCCCCCGGCTGAACCGGGTTGACGGGTTGGAGGTCTACTTACTACTGTACGGCCCATGTGGGCTGCGGTGGGCTGGGCTACTGCTTTGTTTTGTTGTCTGTTCTTTTAGCTGTGTAGATAGTCTAGTTTGTATAACTTTTTTATTTATTTTATTTAATTTCTATTATATTATTATTCATCATTTTGCAGTTAGATCCATTTTTGTTTTGAATTTTGTTGCATTTTCATTTTCATTTTTGCTTATTTCCTTGAACTTTTTTGTCTCTTTTCGAAATATGGGTCACCGAAGGAAAGGTGGACGTGTCCTAACCAGGTTCCGTTTAGCCCGGGCACGCCGTTAGTCAGAATGGGCAACGGGTACAACCATTGGCTGTCGGGGAATGAAGACAGTGGCATTATGGGCCCCAGTGCGTGTTCGAATCCGGGGACTGGCCTGTTCGCTTGTTTTCCCCCTCCGTCAGTCCCGCCGAGGGAGCCCCTCTTTCCCGCCTCCCACTTCCCTGTTGTCGCTGCGCCGCTCGTCGCCCAAATCGCCAACACCGCCGCTGGACACGACCGCCTCACTGTCGCGATCCAGCGATCGCCCGAATCGCCCATCGGCTTGTGCCCACGTCCTGGCGCGCTTCTCTCTACACCCACACCACTTTTCCCTCTTTGCGCAGTCTTTCCCTTCCCCCCCCCCTCGCTCCCTTCCTTTCGACCAGGCCTTTTTTTCCCAGACTCTCTCTCCCGCGACTCACAAACTACTTTCTCCTCATCCATTCAACATCCCCCCCCTCCTCTTACCCATTCTTTTTCTCTTCCTTTCCTCCTCCTCCCTCTTCCCTCTTCTCTCAAACGTCTTCCTCCTTCCTTCTTCCCCCCCCTCCTCTTTCTCTCTCCTCTTCTTTCCTGGGTCAGCATTCAACATCTTGCTCTCTTCCTTTCTTCTCTTTTCTTTTCCTTTTCCCTCTTGTTTGTCTTTTCCCGTTCTGTCTTTCCCATCCTTTGGTACTTCCCCTCCCCGGCTTCTTATTAAAGACTGCCTCCACCACACAATCACCACCACCACTATTACAACCACACGCTATCACACTATTCTCCCCTCCTAGTCCGCCTGTGGCTGGACCCCCCTTCTTCCAATTCCAACACTGCCCTCGAGTATTCCCCCACACAAGGAATGATCAGGCACCAAACCGAATTCCTGTCGTCTACCCGCCTACAGAACCGGTGTGAAATCACGAAAGGGACGATAGCGCAGTCTTCGATCTTGTCGCTGTTCTACTAGGATTCAGCCGTGGTTGTATATTCGCTGCAGTATTCTCAGCAATGGCTCCCACTGCACCTCCCCAGGCGACCAACTCGCCAGCCAAGAAGACATCAGCCCCAGAGAAGAAATACAAGTGCCAATTTTGTAATCGCGCCTTTAGCAGAAGCGAACATCGCAGCAGACACGAACGTTCGCGTAAGTAGAGTGGTCTCTTTTCTATATGGTCTTCTTTTCCTGTGCGCGGGGCTAGGTGTACTGTCTTTGCAGACAGACTAGTTACTGTGCTACGGCTGTGTGTTTCGCGTCGTTTAGTCTTGGGGCACAATACTAACCGTCGTTGCTTCATAGATACCAAGGAGAGGCCGTTCAAGTGTTTGAAGTGCCGGAGTACTTTCGTCCGTCGTGATTTACTCCTTCGTCATGACCGTACCGTTCACGCAAAGGACGGTGGGATACCGCTAGTTTCCGAGGGCCGGCGACGTGGTGGCGCGGGTGTCCAAAAGACTTCCCCCGCACCCGCCCCTTCCAAGCCCTCGATCACAATTGATCCTGCTACTCTCGAACAAATAGAGGCCAGCAGTGATGGTATGGTTGATCTTGAAACTGCAGCCATGTTGATGACAGATTTCCAACATAAGGCCGCAGCCGCCGCTACTGGTCAAGCCAATGAACGTGCTGAATCGGATCGCTCCTTTTCCCCCGGACGCGGTCCTTTATTAGAGCCTCCTGTGTCGTACATGTCGGGCAACGCGACCTTGCCGCAGATGCCTTGGGACACCTTGGTTTCCCCTGCGGACACGAAGCACACGATGGGATCGCCATTCGTGTCTCAAGACAGTGGCTCGGAATCGCATACGCTGCCCTCGGTTATGGACCGACACGGCGCTGTGGGTGATGCGCTTGCTCCCTCGCTGCACTCCCTGGTGAACTCGCTGCCCATGTCTGGAAACTCAACGCCGAATGCGCTTTCGCCGTATCCCTCGATGACCGGTCCCGTCAGTCCAGTGAACTACCGCCGGTCGCCCGGTCCTAGCCAAGCCCTGACGCTGCCCAAGGCCCCGCAGATTGCCAACGAGATCGAGCGAAACATGGTTGTTGAACGTCTGCACAATGTGGATTCTCTCAATGTGCTCCCTGAGACCTTCCAGCTGCCTCCGACCGCATCTCTCAACAAGTATCTCTCCACGTACTTCAATCTGTACCACCCTCACCTGCCGTTCTTGCACCAAGAGTCTTTCAAGCCCACCGCTGTTTCACCGCCATTGCTGCTCGCGGTCCTGTCTATTGGTGCTCTGTACACCTTCGAGCGGCAACATGCATTCATGCTCCACGTGGGGTCCAAGATGCTGGTCAACCAATTCTTGCAACATAAGGACAACTTTGACTCGCGCAAGTGCCCTCTCTGGGCCATGCAAAGCACCCTGCTGAACATGATTTTCGAGAGCTGGAGCGGTGATCCCAAGGGTCTCGAATGGACCTGTTCCATCAAGAGTCTTCTGGCCAATGTAAGCGCATTCCCTTTATTGTACTATTTGAATGATGCTGATAAATGTAGATGGTTGCCGGAAACCGCTATCAACTGAAGCTCCGGACCGAAGCGCGCGAGGGTGCTCAGCCGACCCGCGAGGAGTGGATCGAGGACGAGTCGTGTCGCCGGACGTACTACGCCGTTTACATCTTCTTCGGCATGCTCACGCTGACTTTCAACCACACCCCAGCGATGAGCTTTGACGAGTTTGACAACTTGGAGCTGCCTTCCTCGGAATCCATGTGGAACCTGGATGTGACGGACGATGAGGCGTGGCGCCGCAGCTTGGCGTCCTCTACGCCGCTTACTGTTCGTGAAGCGCACGACTGCCTTTTCCAGGGCGAGCAGACGCGCTACAGTGCTTTCGCCACCCGCGTGCTGATCAACGCGCTCTTCCTGCAAGTTTGGAACCACAAGAGGAGCTTCGAGGCCCTCCAGGACGTGGTGACCGAATACAAGCTCCGGTTGGCGCTGGAGACGTGGGAGAGCTCGCTTGAAGTGTGCGAGCCGGAAACGATTGTGGTGCCTCTCAGCACCCCTCAAAAGGGCCACCCCTTGATCTTCAACTCGATGGCCGTCTACCGCAACACCCGCGCTCGCCTGGAAGTTGACCTCAAGTCCATCCAGGAGGCTCTGCGCTACCACTCATCTTACGAGGTCGCTGCTGCGATGACGGTCGCTCGCGAGAAGGTCAAGCGGTCTCAGGAGATGAACAAGGTGATCCAGTCGTGCTTTGAGTGCATTGAGATCGCCGCTGTTCAGGGCATCAACTGGGTCGCCAAGACATCTGCAACCAACTGGAGCGTCGAGCATCCTCTCTGCGGCTTGGATTTGATGGTCATCCTCAGTCTCTGGCTCTATCGCCTGGAACATGACGAAGAGCCCGCATCGGAGGCTGAGATGGCCATCTACAATAAGGTGCGGAATCTGTTTGATGATGACGCCGTCGATGCTTTTGGAAAACTCAGCTCCACCGTGGCCCGTGTATGGGGTAACATCCTAGACGGCGTGGTAGTTTGGGGGTAAGTTGATTCCAGCTATGCTGACGCTGAGATATTGTTTGCTAACATGTAACAGAATTACGAAGCTCATGGGCGAGTCATTCAAACTTCATTCCCAGGCCTTGGTCGGCTACGAAGATTCGTTGCGCGTTGCCAAGGACCAACCTATTCACCCAATGCCGACGAAGACGCTTGCCAGCGTTGGCACCGCGTACTAGTGCGAGCAACATCTCCACTCGACAGATCGATAGCATGACTATGGTCATCTACATCTTCGACTAAGTTCATCTTCATTATCGTTACATTCATTCCTTACGCGGGCATTGGTTTACATCTGATTTGGGTCGCTGGTGGATCTCGGATTGGGTCGGGAACGGCGAGCAAGTGGCGGCAGGATTCCTTGGGGAATGCTATGATCTGAACTGCCGCATTATGCTGCTTGCTGGCGTTCCCTGGCTCACAGTTAATTGCTTTATTGTTTTCTGCGACGTCTTTCATTGCGTTATGGTTTCGCAAGAGCTCACGGGAGTCCGGTGTGGTCATTTTCTTGTTTTTGTGGGTTGTTTTCCCAAGGCAACATCTCGACACCCGGCTGGTCCTGTGTGTTCGTCCTAGCACTCGGTGGAGTTGTTGTTTTCATTGCCTTCTTCTTATACGCTCTTCTACGCCCTAATCATTAGTGCCTCCGTTCTACATGTGCGCATCAGCGTGTTTGGTCAATTGCCATGGGGTTACCCTAGGCCATCTTTGATACCTTTGTCCGTTATATACATTCTTCTGCTTCAAGTCATTCGTTCAACCTTTTGATCTATTACTTTGTTCGTGACCACTTAATGTATTGCGTTAAATCGTTTGATATAGTGATGTGTTTATGTGTCCCCGCCGTTGATGTTCTCCGCTCTGATTTGCTCTGCTTTCAACTGCTTTGATTTTGGCATTCTTGATTTGATTTGTTTAATTGCACATGCTTTGCTTGACCTTATCAGTAGTTCTCTGTACCATAGTAATTTGCGCAGAAAATATAACTTGTTGGCGGGGTCTTTGCAGTTCAGTATTGTAGAGTTGTTGAACTGGCTAAATGGCTGGACTTAGCTGGTTAGCTGGAGTTGGCTTTATCGACGAGGTGAAAGAGTGGGTCAACCAGCACGGTGGATCGGTGGGGGATCTGGTTCGCGGGTGCTTATCAGGAAAGAAAGGAGGCCGACAATCGCGGGGAATGAAGTGAACTGAAAGAAGATGGAGAGGAATGAAATCCATGGAAGTTGCAGAGACTGGAATTTGGGAGATCACTGGACCGGAGCAGGTGACTTGGTGCTTACCCCTCTTCTTTGCTTCTGCAGCAAGCAGTGATGCCCGTTCCTGATCCTACAAGTACAAGTAGTTAGCTCCTGATTCTCCTTCCTCTTCCCCTCACCTTATCACTCACTTACTTTACTATCGCCCAACTGAATCAATCATGGCCCTCCCTTCCAATGTCCACGTTTCGTCCCATCCCCTCCTCCAAGCCAAGCTCTCACAGCTCCGGTCCGCATCCACCTCGACCCGCGAGACCCGCAGTCTGGTGCACGAGATAGCGACTATCTTGGGTGTGGAGGCATTTGCAGCAGGATGGAAGGTGAAGAAAGCAGGAATGGTAGGCTCCCTCGTCAACTAGACAATCCTCAATGTATGTATTTACTGACTGATTTATCTGGACAGGATACCACCCCGTTAGGCACCGAATACGTCACTCACGACATTGATCCTTCGGACATTGCCTTGGTGCCTATTCTCCGGTCCGGGTTGGGCATGATAGAGGGTATTATTCCCTTACCCCCTACTACCTATCTATCTCGGGCACCCATATACACCCCCAAGAATTGATTCCTCACACCCCAATGACCTGCCAGGCCATAACTGAACAAAACTAATAATGAAAATAATCAGCGATGAACAACCTTCTCCCCACCTCCGTCCCAATCTACCACCTCGGTCTCTTCCGCGAACGTCTCACCCTCCAACCCGTCGAATACTACAACAACCTTCCCTTCCAGCCCGACAGTTCCAGCACTAACACCGCCGCCGCGGCCACAGCCATTCTCCTTGATCCGGTCATTGCAACGGGTGCTACCGCTGAAGCGGCGATCCAGTTACTTCGTGAATGGGGCGTGCAGAGAGTCGTCATGTTGAGTGTGTTGGGTTCGGAGGCGGGTTTGCTTCGCGCGGCGGGCACTTGGCCGGAGGGCGTTGAGGTGTGGACTGGAGCAGTGGATGCTAGGTGTGATGAGCGGGGGATGATTGTGCCGGGGTTGGGGGATATTGGGGATCGGTTGTTTGTTGCGATGGGGAAGTAGGTTGCATGCAGTATAGTATAGTAGTCTACTTACTATGGTATGGCATGTAGTGAAAGAGATGGATAGATAGCTAGCTAGCTAGCAGCAGAATAGGTAGACGGGGTACATAGACATGATAACCACTTACTTGATTGATTGATTGATTGATTGACTCATTGAGAGAAAACGAAATCACCGTCCCCTCTGCAAAAACCCCAATACATCCATCTCAACCCCATACTTCACCTCATCCCTACCACCAGCACCAACACCAGCACCAGTAGCAGTACTCTGATTCACATTCATCCTACTCCCCAACCCCATATTCAAACCACCCACCGGAATCTCCCTCCCAGTAGTAGAAGTCGGCGTCATCGGCCCCAAACTCGGCGACGCAACAATACCCACATCCATCCCCGTCGTCAACGCCACCCCGATCTCATTCTCATTCTCATTCTCATATCCCTTATACATAGCCCCACTCCCAGCAGATGCAGAATTCTCCGGTGTGATGTTCCTCTGATGCAGCCCTGCACTAGTACCATCCAAACACCTCCCATCGTGCACATGGCCATGTCCATGTTGATGAGAGATGAACTTCTCCCCAATCCCACCCCGTCCGTGATGAATCCCCCGTGTCAGGAGCATTTGTCGGCGGAGGGTTTGTGCGCGTTCTTCGCGGAATTCGGCGGCTATATTTCCCATTCCCCATGGGTGTTTGTTAGATGAGTGTGGATGAGTATGGGATAAGTATGGGGTAAGGGTATGGGGAAGGGGATAGGCATACCTCTCCAGAAGAATACATACACGCCCATTACGACGAAACAGGCGGCGAGAAAGCCGAAGAGGATGCCGAGTTCGTGGGAGAGGGAGGTCATGGGGGTGTAGGGGGGGATGTTGTGCGGGTTGTTGTTGTTGTTAGTATTGGTGATGGTGGTGGTGGTGGTGGTAGGGTTTATGGGGGTTGTGGTGTTGGACATTTTGATTTTTGATGATGTTGGTGGGATGGTTCTGAGGGGGGAGTTAGATTTGTTGGGATTATAGAGAGGAGTATTAGTAGTAGTGGTGGTGGTAGGGACGGGTTTGTGTAGTACTTACTGTTGTCCTGTTTTGTTGGTTGGAGTTGGAGATAGTGATGGTGATGGTGTTGTGGGTGTAGATGTAGATGTAGACGCGATGAGGATGTAAATGTGGTAGATCTTCGATCGAGGGAACCCACTTTTCTGCAGTATAGGAGGGGTGCGACCATTCACTGACATATGAGATAAAGAATGGAGATGACAGTAATCTGCATTTCAGTTCGTATTCTTTGTCTGTCTGCGCGGTATCATCATTGGTTGTCGCACTCGTACTACCCGGATCGGCCAACAAAGGCCGAATCAGAATCAACAGTGAAGTGAATGAATAAAATTCAGATTCATGATCAGTTAAGTAGTAAGTATAAGTGTAAGTAGTAGTAGTAGTAGTAGTAAGGTAGTGTAATAGTAAATACATCATCAAACAATAGCCTCAATGGCACAAATCAAGGTATCATGTACACGTACAAGAAGCGTCAGTAGAAGTAGGTAAAGGTGAAAGGTAAAAGCACCCGGTCTATACATGGGGTATGGTATGAATGCAAAGGTCGAAAAGTAATGCATACCTCACAAAAAGTGAAGTGAAGAAGCGAAAAATAAACTGCAGCACAGCCAAAAGTGATGGTGGCTGCTGCAATGCAATGCAAGCAACGCTCGTAGCAGAGAGCGACCGAACCAAGTCTAGTCGCCAAAGACTGTCGTGAAAAGAAATTAGAACTCCGAATGCAAGTTGGTGCAGCAGAAACCGTCGATTCAAAAGTCGACGATAATCGCTGAAGGGTATCACCCCAGCATCACTGCTGCCAATGCCGTACAGGTCAATCCAATGGCCATGCCAATCCATGGTGTTTGTCCGAGTGTGCCTTCACTGCGTGCGCGCAACGCTTTGGTTTCCCCTGTCGTTGCGGCCAGGCCGATTCTCCCGCTCGCTGGTTCGGGCAGTTGATCCTGCACCCGTGTCGCATCTGTAGTATCTTGAATCTCTAGCAGCGTGCGAATCTTCCGTAGTTCCGCATGTTGCTCTGCATTCGACGGCATCGGGATCTCAGGCAACGGGGCGGGCGGGTTGGCATTGGGGAGGGACGGCGTGGGAGACACGGCGGGAGGTATTTGAGGATCGGCCTCGACGGCGAGGGCTATCGTCGGAGCGAGACAGAGGAGGATCGTGGAGGTCTTCATTGTGAATGTGTGGAGGTGGATGTGCGAGAATGCGACGAGAAAAGGTCGGTGCGGAGGGAAACAATGCAAGCAAGGCTGCGGGATTCCAGAACGTGCTGGATCAAAGCGAAGAAAACTCGTGCCAGGAATTATAATCCACCACTTCCAACGATACCAACAATAGCAACGGAAGAATTCAAGTCCCACAGTAACCGAAGTCAAGGTGTAAGCTGAGTCGAGATCTGAAACGGGGAGCGCGACAGATGCGAAGAGTCGAGAGCGCAAAAGAAACGACTGGCTGGTGTGTATCTCCTGAAACCTGTAACGAACAATACAGGAGAAGCAGGCAACGGCAACGACAGTGTATGTGTATGTTAAATAAAGTGCAACAACAACCACAGCAACGACCGTCTCCAACAACGACGGGCACAATACAATATAAATAAAGTACAAGCGAGAGCGAGAGTTGCAACAGGAGAGGAAATAAAAAAGGGACGGACGGGAAAGCAGAAGAAGAAAAGAAGAAGGGGGGAAAAACAGGCGAAACGGCCCAGACGCTGACAGGCCAAGCTGGAACGGGGGGGCCCTGACCCTGGCCTTTGCCAAATTAGTGGAAATTTAATTCGTCTTTAGCGTTTTTTGCGCCGACCTCTCCTCTTCTAGGACAAAGCCCCACTTGCCCAAGTGGCCCCCAATAGATACCTAGTGGGGTTTGCCCAGCCTGCAGTGGCCCGCTATCCCAGATATTTAATTGGCTGTATCCTGCCGTGTCAGCACGGGCTGGGACTAGCGTCAGTTGAAAGGTTGTCTCGTGCCACTTACAGAAGCTTGTCAAGAAGGGCAGCGGTGGAACCAGGGACAATCCCTGTAACCATCGGCATCAGCTTTTGCCCGATTGGGGGAGGGTCTGGCCCGGGTGAACCAATAAGAAGGAGGAGAAACTCCACGCGAGGGCGAGGTTCATTTCCCGCTATTGGGTGAATTGGGGACGGGATGATAAGTTAGTGTAGTGCACTGTATAGGGCAGATAGATACTACTAGTATGGAGGTTAGTAATAAACAGTATTATTTCCCAGTGTATCAGGCTATCTCGATTCCAAGTGAGACATTAATTCGCTTGTTGCTCACCGGCCCTGAAAATGACGAGCTTAAACCGGATTAATGATGATGTGCAAATCCCTCTCATCAACACGGGACCCATCTATCATACTTCATTAAAATCTATCGATCATCACATACTCGGCATCTCACACTTTATTACATACAGTGTCTGCCTCACTCTGCTGCTGCTGCTGCTGCTGCTGCTGCCCTCGGGTGGTCCGTGTGTTAATTATAGTCCCGCTCATCACGCTGTTTCTCCGCGACAATCACTTCCACAAGGCATTCAACATCAACACCACACAATGGCTGTGGCGTGGCATGGCTGGCATTCTTTTCTTACGTCGTCACCTCTCACAGCCATCCATGTGGATAATACATCATCCCCAGGGTTTCTCCTCATTGGCATCTGAACTTTTGACAGTTCTATCTTTATCTTCCATCTCTATGAACAAAACATCCGATCGGCTGTCCCCCAGCCATCCCGCATGACGTAAACCCCTTCCCTGCCTCCCAAATAAACAAGGCTATCACAACAACAACAACAGCCCCATCAACAGTGGGATAGCGTCAACATCCACCAGCCTTCTCACTGTTACATACAACATCGTCCTGTTACAACATCTTCCCCCAGTCCGGTGTCACCGTAAACTTTCCACTCAGCTGTCCCATCGCCCACACCTTCTTCTCATCATCCGGGAATTCCTCGTCCGCTGCATTAGGCGGGGTCGACACGATCAACGCTTCTTGGAGAAAGTCCACGGCCGTTGCGCGATCCAGCTCGAAGCTGATTCCTCCCCAGTCCATCGTCACCCGACCCGACGCATGGACATTCAGCTTGCCGACGCGCCCGGCGCTGAGGCCCCAGTCGGCTGCAGTGACAATCTTGGACGACGTCCCTGTTGCCGTGGCATCCTCCCCACCCTCGAGGATCTCGACGCCATCTTCGCGCTTGACGCCTGTCTGCTCTGACCCACTGGCCTCCGGTGCGCTCTGCCCCGCCATCGTCTCTGTAGCTTCATCCACTGGATTCTCGCTGTTGCCCGGTACCACCAGGTTCGGCGTCATCGGTGGGAATTGCATCAGGAACAGCTGCCCCGCCAACTTGTCCTTGTTGACATCCTCCTCCTCCTGCTCCTTGTCCTTGTCCTCCGTTGTACTGTCCTTCTCCTTATCCTGGTCGTTGGCAACCACAGCAGGGGCCTCTCCCTCCGCCGGGGTGGTGGTCTCCGATTTCTCAGGTTCAGGCTCCTTCTGGAAGAGGTCCTTGACAATCTCCAGGTCCTGTTCGTGTCGCTCGTACTCCTCGATATCCTCCTTCGTGCGTAGTAAACTCTTCGGGTCCTTCACGGCAGCAGGGGTCTCCGATTCGGGCTGGGGCGTAGCTTCGTTCGACGGGGGTGTAATCTTCCTGCGCACCTTGACCTTCTGCACCGGCAGCAGTCCATCGTCCGTCGTAGCTGGCTCCTCCGCACGCGGAACATCTGTCATGACCTGATCATCATCATCCGTAGGCTCAGACTTGACCTTGGGCTCTCCCTCCGTAGTAGCCGCAGCATCATCATCAGTCTGCTGCACAAAGAGCGCGCCACCATCCTCCTTCGTCTGCGCCTTCGCCTTCTCCCTCAGCTCCGCCGACTTGCTGGAGCTCGACTCCATATTGACACTGACCGTGCGCTCTTCATGCTCATGTCTCTCAACCCGAATAGGCCGCAACCCCTTCTCCGCATCAGCATACTTGACCGCCGCCTTCCCCTTCTTACTATCAACCATCATCTGCTCCTGATCCTCCTCATCACTATCCAAATTGATCTGGTCAATACTAATGCGCACCTCCCCATCACTCTCATCTGACGAGTAATCGCGAGTCCCCGCCGCCGTATTACCCAGATCAATAACCGACCGACTGCGTCTCGACATAGACGAATGTCTCGAATCATTTCCAAACCGTCCGCCTCTACCCCGACGCCCAGACATCCCCGATCCCAATGGCCCACCCGCAGACCCCAGAGGTCCGCCACGCCCGCGCCCAAACCCACCGCGACCACCAGGACCGCCCTGGTCCCGGCCGCGCTGGATCGCCGCCGCCTCCTTCAGACGCTCGCGATGCCGCTCGGCTTCAAGCTTCTCAATAGCTTCTCGTTCCTCCTTGCTGCGACGGCCGACGGCGCGCGGCTTGTATTTCAGTGTGGGTTTGGCGGGTTCGCCGGGCGCAGCGGGCGCGCCGGGGGGTTTCGCGGCCGGCCCGATGCTGCCGGAGGGTGTGCGTTTCTTGAGCGATTGAAGGCGCTGGACGGGGGCTCGCCCGGAGGCTGATGGGCCGGGCGTGGGAGTCTGAGAGTCGCCGGTGGTGGTGGCGCTGGGCGCGGGACTCGCTGAGGCAGTTGTAGATGCATTGGCGCGGCTGGCTGCGCCGGCTGGTGCTCCTCGTCGGGGAGCACCTTTCGGAGGCATGATGGGTGGATGTGGATGTGGATGATCGATGCGGTGGAAAGGGTGGGATTGAGTAGCGTTGAAGTAGTGTTAAAGGTGAGGACGAGCTGGAGGGGTATATAGAGGATGGCTCGTCCGGAGGTATGGAAGAGGAAAAGTAGAATAGAAAGACAGGGAGAGGATTGGTAATGAAGTCGAGTGAAGATGAAGATACGGAACTTTTTGGCAGGATCCGCGCCCGCTCGGCGTTGGAGAAAAAAAGGAAATTCACGCCTCAGGCCGCTAATGCGGGGCAACGCCAGTCAGCCGGCGCTAACCCGATCCGGACATCACCTCAGATGTTGCTTCCAATAATTCTGTCAATTAATGGCAGCCATTCACTGGATGTGATGGATCGCATTGAGTTTGGTCTTGAACAACGGGTCTATTCAAATGTAACGATTAGGCTAGAGACTTTCTATTCTGTCTATTGGCTAGCCTTCTACTACCAGCTCGCTTACGGCTCTGCTGTGGTTCATAAAATTCAATATATATTTCCTATTGATCACACTAGACCTCTTTGCAAGTTGTAACTCATCTCCAGTTGAAATCAGACGGGCACCAGCAAAGCCATTCAAAACACAACCAAGTAATCCAGATACATCCGCTCTTTCAATGGGGGCCTAAATGAGTGGAGGCGACCCCGGACCGTGGCCGCGAAAACATTGCAGCAACTAACGCCAAAAGACACAACTCAGGAAGCTCAATCAACCCGCTCAGCTCAATCGCTAGACTATCCATGAGAAATAACAGGCCAGGCAGAATGCAGACGGTAATGCGAACTAGGTTGGCGATCCGAGGAGAGAGAGGTAGAGAGGTAGAGAGAGAATGAAGGGAGCGCGGCACTCGTGACTTCGATGCAAGATACAAAGAGAGACGTCGTGCACGAATCCGCCGGTGATGAAGGAAGGACATCCCAAGAGGCAGGCCGGCTCGGGGGAGAGGAAGAAGTATTCAGTGATATGATGGGGGAGATTCGGAGAGTTTCAAGATGATCAAGCCAACGGTCCGCGTGGAAAAACTCGTTAAGGAGGGGAAGGATACAATGCACGGAAGAATGTCGATTCGTCTATGTTAAAAGGTGTAATATGTCAGGAGAAATGCAGCCATCCAGGCGCAGCTCATCAATGGTTCGGTACGACCGGTGTGGGCGAAAAGGAAAAAGTGAGTTAGAGGAGCGAGAAATCCGAGACGTCATGGGCAGACACAGCCATCCTCATTGCTGGGATTGGAATCCAGCTAACGCTTGCGCTTCTTGTTCTTATCCACGCTAGCCGCCGTGGTCACCGGAATAGCGGCCACGATGGACTGCGTCTCGACTCCATTCGGAGTGGCGTCGAATGCTTTCTTGACAGGGACCCCCATGTGGCGACCATAGCGGCCTTTGCGACCGTTTCCTTCGTCTTCGCTGATGCACCCTTCGATGCCGATGCCAGCATCCTTGCATCGACCGCAAGGGCGTTGCCGATCGCAGCCCTTCTTGCTCTTCCGGCATCGCTGGCAACGCGGCTTGGTCGACAAGTCCTCCTCGTCGGCGGCGAGCTGGTGCTGGAAGTTGACGGACGAAGTCGAGGTTTTGCGGACCGGCACAGGGCTCATCATCTGCGGTGATACCGCCGTTTTCTGAGTCACCGTGGTAGACGTCGCCTTGACTTTACGGGCGGCCCCATTAGCCGCTGGCTTGCTGCTCTTATTCGGGCGCACGGGTGCTGGCTTGGGCCCGCGCGCCTTGGTAGAGGTGGCAGCATGGGTGGGCCGAGTCTTCGCCTTCTTGGACTTGGGAGCGTCCCGGTAGAGAGTATCCTCCAGATCATGCCTCACCAAGGTGTCATTCAACTCTTCATGTTGGTAATCCTCATCGTAGCCGTCGTAACTTCCATCAGAGCTGTCAAAGCTGGGAAGGATATCGTCCAGATGCTTGTGTGTGTGCTTGGTGGCACCGGGTGGGAGCATGGGGCTGGAGTCGAGCCGCTGCTTGGACCGAGCGGGCAGATCATCGTCATCATCGCTGTAGTCATCACCATCGCTGGTTGCGCCCGTCGACGATGCAGCATCAGCGGCGCCGCTGAAGGCATCATCAAGCGTGGAGGCAGAAGTACGGCCGTGCGAGAAGTTAGATGCGTCTCCCAGACGAATCAATTGCATAGCAACATCCTCGTCGGAAATACAGCTGGCAATGGTAGGATCCGGGGTGGGGAGGATGCCCGGGCCGCCGCCCCGACCAGCCTGGTTGCTATACTGCCCACCAGAGGACTGGGTAGTGGCTCGGTCGCGCAGCCGGTGGCCATGCTCAGGAACCACAGGGGTAGCGTACACAGGATTGCGCACCGGATTGACGTTATAGATTTGCTCATTATATCCATAGCTTTGTGGAGACGGCAATGGTTGTTGGTTGTATGGGCGCTGGGTGGGGCGTGCGAAAGGTGAGATGGCCCCTTCCTGACCGATTGACCGGCGTTGGGGCGATATCGACGACGTGGAGGTTGTGAGCGGGACCTGGGGAGGAACGAACAAAGGCAATTCCTGGAGAGGAGACAAAGAGAGAACGTTAGCAAGTCTGGTTCAACAAAGACGGGGCACGAAAAGATGCCTGCCACGAACCGAACTTTCAAACTTGGGCCGCTTCCGGCGGCCATCTTGAAGGATGTTTTCCATGCTGATATCTGAGCTGCCAAACTGCTCGGTTCGGGACTTCTTCGTCCCAGAGTAGCCACCCTCGTTATCGCTATAACCAGGGGTACCCTCCTCGTGGAAGCTGCCATGAGTGCTCGAGCCTCTGCTCTTGTTGCCTACCCGAGACGACTGCTTGTTCTGGGATGCGCTACGACGGCTGCGACCAGACGGGGATATACTGCGTTTCCGAGCCAGCCGCGACGCCGGCCGAGAAGGTGGTTGGCCGTGTTCCAAGACCTGCGCCGGCGGCATGGCCGGCGGCATCTGGAAGGGCTCCCCTAAGCTGGGACGCTTGCGGGCATCGGCTGGGAGATGCCCATAAAAGCGATCGCCGTAGCCCTCTGTGTACGCCTGGACGGGGATAACCCGCACATAAACAGTCATGTTGTTCCGTAGATTCTCATACCTGGCAATGAGGGTGATACCTTGCTCATCTTCGAAGCTCACACCGCTCGCAGCACCATCGTAGATGCCGTAAAAATTCTTAACCGTAGTCACAATGGAATCCGTTGTGTCATGAGGATAGATCTGTACCCGCATCGGTATGCGGGCCCGGACCTTGGAGTTCTCATCGAGAAGTAGCTCAAAGGCGACGTTCTTAGGAACCGAGCTCCGAGGGGAGGGTTCCTGAGGCGGCGCACGATGGTCGGTGTAGGCAGGCGACTCCCCAGGGGCAGCATGCTGTTCGTAGTGGACAGCCTGCATGGTGGGAGAGTCTGAAAAGAGGTACTACCACACTGCTACTACATTGATGTATGAATCAATCGGGTGTTCGAATTCGGGTGGGAAGAGCGGTCCGGGCGAGAAGAGACAGAGGGTGGGGGGGGGGAGGAGGGAAGCAGGCAGAGAGACGGGGAGGAATAGGAGGGTATGGGTAAATTCCATCCAAACCTACCACAACAGAGAAACCAGAGGGGTTCAGTTGAAAGATGGACTACCCGCGACAGTTTTTATGGATGTGTTGGATGGCGACTCAAGAGGGTGGTCGGTGGGAGGACGACGGCACCTCAGTCGCAAGAGCCGAGAGCGACGGGAAAGGCAAAGAAAAAGACGGTCGAAAAGCTGGACAACCACCACCACCAAGGTTAGCACGATGTGATGCAAAAGATGTCAATGAGAAAGGACGATGTGTAGAGAAGGGAATCCAAGTTTATTCGATGACGCCGAGACCTCCCCTGTCGAATCCTGATGGGATTGCAGATTGGGAGGAGGAGAGACGACCCGAAACACTCGGAAGACGATGGATGGCATCAAAGACGTACCGATGGGAAATCAAACCTATTTGTATAGAGTCGCACCCGAGTGTCGGATCCGACGAGATGAGAAAGAAAGGATAGCGATGGTGGTTGAGGGAGTAGGAAGAGGGGTGGGCCGTGGGAGGTGAGTCGTTCTACCAAGCGCTTGGGTATGTCAGCGGTGGCATCACGCAGAGCCGAAGCGAGTCAGGAGAACCAAATGGTCAGGAAAAGGGGAGAGCGGGTGCAAAAGAAGATCAAGATCATGCTAAACGATAGAACGGGACCTACCTGATAGATATGCACCAAAAAATCGAAGGGAAATGGTGAAGAGAATGGGCGAGAAGAAGTCGGGTTGGGTCGAAGAGAAGGTTGAGGAGGAAGAGAGAGAGAGAGAGAGAGGAAGAGGGAGTGGGCGCTGGATGGATGGATGGATGTGGTTTCACCCAAAGCGAGCAGAGGTGGCCTGGGTCGGTGACAATCCATCCTCTCGAATGCACCCTTCTCCCCCCACAGACTCCCCCGACTTCCTTCCAGATGCGAATTGATTCTCTATATTCTCCATTCAACCCTTTTTTCTATTTGCGCGTGGCTTTCTTTCATCGCAGAATCCTAAATCGCATTGCGTCCGAACGGACCGGCTTCCATCTGGATCTACGAGATCGGCGACTCTGCCTGGAAGGACTTCTGGCCGATAGTAACGTACAAAGTACCTGTCAGATGAATCGCTAAAACTACACTTTTATATTGCTATAATTTTTGTCATATAATAATGCCAGTGATGGGGTGAAGGGTGAGTGCAAAGTGCTGTTGGATCTCTGGAGTATCGGCCGGGTGTTGGCGCAAACGACGGCGACATTGTCGATCTGCGACCACAGAGAACAGGTGCAGGAGTACTTTTGAACTGCCAATCTACGGACATTACAGGAACATACACACGGAAAGAGAATACTTGTGGATTACGATCATAATTATTCTTATTATTTACTGTTACCATTTAATTCTTTGTGCACCCAACGGAAGAGATGGTTGACCAGATGAAGCGGAGTGGCGTAGGGTCAAGGTTGGCTGGCACTTCCTCAGCGCGGCCACGTCGAATGACACCCCCGATCACATCCCGGCTGCGGAGAGCGAGTGATGGGACGCTCTTCTTCATGTCCGTCCCCATTCCGGGTTTAATTCCTTAGATGATGAACTTTTGGTCAAAAAGTCGAGTCGTAGCGAAGGTTTTAAAAAGCGAAATAATTACTCCAGACCAAATAAGCAGCGAAAAGATCCGAAGAATGTTATCCTAGGGAATAAGGTTGGTTCCCTTTATTTCCCTACGTGGATGGGCATAAGACGCAATTAAAGACGACCGACCAACTGTCTCCGGAATAAACTGAACTTGTTCCCCCCCCTCTCTCTCAGCGACCAATTCCCTCAACGCTGGTCGCGCAAGGTTCTTACCATGCTCAATGCTGCCATTCCATTACTCGCGGGGCGTAAGACATGCATGATGGTTTGGATAACCGGTTGAAAGGGCGATCGATGCTCCGGATCTCCATGTTGGGGAAAAGGAAAGGAAAATCTCCTACGGCGCAAATGTCCTCCATGGCCTCAGGCTCATCATCATCCATCACCAGTATGTAGACTACTTAGTAATAATCAGTACTCCGTAGTTGGTAGTTAGTATCCAGACATCGCCAGCGCAGAATCCCAGAGAAACAACCAGACCATCATCATCATCACCACCACCAAAGAAAAAAAAAAAAAGCAAAGGAAATACTACTTAACGGAACAGCATGCAATGGAATGAGGGGAGGGCAATCCACCACACCAACCATCGCTACCGGGGGATGGAGACGAGAACAGTGATTGAGATTAATTGGGCCAGGATGCTGCAACGACACAGAGCCAACAAGCCGACGAGCAACAACGCCCAATTGTTGCCTCGTTTCATGATCTGCGCCTGTCCAGACTCGTCCTTTTACCCCTCCTCGGAAAAACGGTGGGCTACGTAAGGATCCCCGTCTTTCCTTCACCAACTTTCGGGCAGGCATAAAGGACTTAGTATTCTTTTGCGACCAGACCGACTGACAGCTAAGATACTCTCATCATTATCATCCACTAACTTAGCACCTCCAATCCTATGGACAGTCCTTTGGCTTCCTGTCCCGCGGGTCTCTAAATCGCATCTGCCAGGCCGGCCATTCCCATGTCTGCAAGGTCCAGTGCAACTTCGCAGCGGCCTGTGAACTAAACCTTCGGAGGGTTCCCTTTGACTGCCATGTCTTGCGCATTGTACTGGGGTGTCTACACAATCCCTTCCTGGCCCCAAGCGATCGAATGAGAATGGGCGATGGTCGATTGACTGAAGAACAACCAACTGGCGCAACAATGCCGTTAGCCGGGTGGGGGAAAATCAACTGGAAGGACTGCATTCCGCAGGGAAGCTAAATGAGGATGACAATAATGGGATCATATATATATATATATATCCACAGCAACATATAGGCTCTGTCGCTTCTTTCTCTTAATGTTTGTCAAAGTAATAATGTTCAGTTTAAACTGAACACAATCCGATCTCGTGCGATCACTCCAATTGTAGAGTTTGGAGTGTTCCTTATTGAGGCACTCAAAGCGGGGCCTGCTCCAGAGTCAATAACCAGTCCGGCCGGTGCTTCAATAGTCATCATAATTTTGCCCATTTATGTTAGTTAACTAACTGGCTTTGCTATTGTTGTTGGTCAGCCGCCAGGCCAAACAACACACCGAAACTTTGCGTATCTTCAATAGTCCGCTTTCACCGTTCGGTTGTCCGCGACACCTCAAATGGCGGCTGGTCGCCAGCAATCCCAGTGTTCATCCTTTCCATCTTCTCTCTCTTCCTCTACAATGCACAATGGATCACAGCATCAATCAGAGTGAATTTGCGACCATCGCATAACACATACCACCAATACTGGCTATTTCACTGATGGCAAATCCGGTGGAGGTCGGGACTTTTTCGCACACGACCATCGACAAACCCGCTCTCATGAATCCCGCCGCCTCATGATAGGTACCGCCGGATCCGCGTCCCACAATGGGGGGGAAACTTGTGGCTTCCTGGCGAGGTTGGCATTTTGCGCGGGTGTAAACGGGACCCAAAGATCAGTCCAAAGTAAGTGCCAGTTAGAAAACCCGCAAAAAGAGCCAGGCCAAAGATACAAACTGTAAGCCTACAGGAAACATGGATTCCTCAAGTCATTGACGGGTTTGCGATTATCATGGCCCGTCATCATTGGCATTACCAGGTTCCAGCTGGAATCTCGACCCGAATGGCCCATCCACTCCATCCTGGTCGAGACGTTTCGCTCAAAGACAATCAGGTGCCCCTGCCATGCGACACCGGTGAGCCTGGTTAAGAGTGCGATCGGAGGTCCTGGATAAGCGGGTTGGTCACAAGCTGAATTCAACATTCCGGGTTGCTCCAACCTCCGCTTCAAGCGTCAAATCCCGGAGCAAAGATGGCAGCTCTCCCACCCTTTCGGGATCACGTGAACTCGCGTTGGGTGAAGGCCGGCTTCGTGTGACCCGGCGCGTCAAGGACCTGGGGGAATATCTACCATAATTGTCCACCACAACCGTAAGTATAAGCAGGAAGTGCTGTCGTTTTAGAATCGCAAAATAGCCTGCGATATAAAGTGCTTTTTATTACCAGATATAGCTTGGTTTGGAGTAGAAATATGGGCAGTAAAGGAATTGATGTGCTGGTGGGAAGACGCGTTAGATGATGTCACCCGCTCTGGGGAGCAAGCAAACAGCGCAAACAGCGGCTGACCTAAGCATGCCATAGCAACCCCCGAAGCGGACTAGCGCGGGTGTTGTTGACGGTAACCAAGTAAGGAAGTGACCGTTTCGGGCAATGCTGGTGGTTGCCCTTGAGATTCAGTTCAAACTCAGCTTTTGTTTGTCCTGCCCTTTCTTCGTTGCTGGTCGCCCTGCCTTTGTCAATGTATTGGTGTTAGTCGTCGTCTTCCAACCAACCTCCTCCCTCTCGTGGCAGCCAATTTTAACACTCAAACCTGGTCGAACTGGCGCTATCGCTCGAGCCCTTGGCGCGGTCTTGTGTTTGTTTGGGGTCGCATTTTTAGTATAACTTTAGCTGCGACGACCAACTCCTGCGCAGGGCGCAGAGAAGTAAACAACCACCCACCCTTCCCCAAGCTCCCCCAAACACGGTTCTCGAGGCTTCAGAGTATCGCCTCTCTTCATCCAAGATGGATGCAAAGGTACGTTATCTTCCATTGCATGTTCTTCCTGCCTGTCAGCCGTCCAATCGGCTTATAAACATGGCATGCATGTTCACGGTGCTGCACGCGCACTGAGGGTTTAGCCTCCGATTATCCCTTCACCAAGGTCGCGACTTAGTTAATAACACTGAGCTGACGAGATTTATGGCATTAGCCCCAGAGAATTCGCGTCCGTGGTGACGAGAATGCCCCCTTCCCTCTCGCAGCCAACAAGACCCTTACCCAGAAAAACAAATCCACGCCTGCCTTGTCCACCATGTTCCAGAACGGCACTAACAAAGGTGCGGCCAAGCGGGCTGCTTTTGGCGATGTCAGCAACACGGCCAAACCAATTGCCGGTCGCGATGATATCTCCCTGGCGGGCAAGAAGCAGACCAAAGGGGCAGAGAAGGCGGCGTTGATCGTCGAGAAGAAGGCCAGCCTGGCGCAGCCAGCTCAGCGGCCCATGTCAATGGCTGGTATGAAAGGCCTTTTGAACAATGTTCCCAACGCCAAACCCATTGAACCTTCCAAGCAAATCGCCTTGCAGCAGCAAACTGCAAATGCGAGAAAGATCTTAAACAAGCGGGCTACAGTATTCAAAGACGCGTCGGAACCGTCGAACAACAAATGCGAAATTACATCCAAGGAAACCAACACCGAACTCGAGGAAGGAGACAACAAGGCATCCCTTGCACAGGCGCCCGCAGCTGCGAAGCGGACCACTACGAAGGAGGAAGCTACACACGAAGAACCGAAGCCAGTCCTGGAAGACGCCGAAGAGCATTCCATTGTGGACTCTGAGGTGGACGAGGCAGAGAAGGCTTTGCTGGAGGTTGATGATGATCATTGCAAGGTCCAGGATCATAGCGAGGATCCCAAGCCCCGCGAGCTTCCCGCTGCGCCGGAGGTTCCTGAACCTAACCGTGTCGCGAAGGTTCATCGTGACTCTGCCTCGACCTCGCATGCACCAGCACAGTCGGAGCCGGAAGATTGGGATGAAGAGGACGAGCATGAGGAGGAAGATGGGTATATCACTGCTCGCTCCTACCGCTCTCGCGGCGAAAATACCACCGGGGGTGCCACCACAGTGCTTTTCCCCAAATTCACCCAGCAAGTCCGACGCGAACTAGCTCTCGCGGAGCAGGTCGTGGAGGCCACACGGACTGAGGAAGACATTGAAGATGAATGGTACGATACAAGCATGGTTGCTGAGTACAGCGAGGAGATTTTCGAATACATGAGAGAACAAGAGGTACGTACTAAGTCTGGAGAAACCTGATCCTATGTAGTTAGATACTTACATGGCCTACAGATCAAGATGCTACCCAATGCTCACTATATGGATAACCAAGCCGAGATCCAATGGTCTATGCGGTCTGTGCTTATGGACTGGGTCGTGCAGGTCCACTATCGGTTCTCTTTGCTTCCCGAGACCCTCTTTCTGTGTGTCAACTACATCGACCGCTTTCTTTCTTGCAAGATCGTGTCCCTGGGCAAACTTCAGCTTGTGGGTGCCACTGCCATCTTCATCGCCGCCAAGTATGAGGAGATCAACTGCCCGTCCGTGCAGGAAATTGTCTACATGGTAGATGGAGGATATTCCATGGACGAGATTCTCAAAGCCGAGCGTTTCATGTTGAGCATGTTGCAGTTCGAGCTGGGATGGCCTGGCCCGATGAGTTTCCTGCGAAGGATCAGCAAGGCCGACGACTACGACTTGGAGACGCGCACTCTTGCCAAGTACTTCTTGGAGATCACCGTCATGGATGAGCGTTTTGTCGGAAGCCCCGCGAGCTTCGTTGCCGCTGGCGCTCACTGCCTGGCTAGGCTCATGCTGCGGAAGGGAACCTGGGTATGTCCTTGACCTGCTGAAGTTCGAAAGAAGTCGTCCTAACATGTTCCCAGACTCCCGCCCACGCCCACTATGCCGGATACACTTACACGCAGCTACTCCCACTCATTTCTCTCATGGTGGAGTGCTGCGAGAACCCTCGCAAGCACCACGGCTCTATCTACGAGAAATTTTCTGACAAACGCTACAAGCGCGCTTCTCTGTTCGTTGAGAACGAGATGAGAAAGGGAATCATTGTCCCAGAGCCGGCCAGAGATAGCTCTTATTCCGATCGCAACGCATCAACTGAACCAGCGCCCTACTGGAAGCGCGCATAGCTTCTTATCTAGTCACTCACGCTGAATCCCTCGACCTCTTCTAACCGCTACCACTTACAGAAAACTCAACCCATCGTCGTCGTTTACTTCTGCATATAGAGCATGAAAATGTCTGACACGGCGCAGGGGTTCAGGGTTTGCTGGCTACACTGACCTGCAACCCGTGCCTGTTGAAAGCTGCTAATATCTGAAAATAAGAGGCGTGAGTGTGCGCAGAAGCTCACGTCGCCAATACCCCAGGATCAAGGTCCTCACACCCTCATTCACCTTTTTTATGATACCAAGACATGTGACGCCTATGGCCATCCATGCAAGATGTAGACCACGCAAGAAAAGCCGATGCCGTGATCGGAAATCGGATGTCAGGGAGCCGGAGTTCTTTTGCTTTTACCTCATTTCTTTTTTCCTTTTCTATTAATGATTTGCACGACAATTGATTCATGCAAGCAGTCCGGGTTCGGGAGTTAATGGGTCGATGGCTGTCTTTTCTTACAATCCCTCCTTTACATTTTCTTCATTTCTCTCCTATGTCGTTATGCCCTTGTGTTATTTTACCTTTCTCGACTATCACGACCTATCTCACGCTCCCGGCAGATTGCTGCTATCCACGGAATCTTCACGACGAACGGCGAGCTCCCCCGAGCATCGCTATAATTCATTGCCCTCTGATTTCCTTTGTTTCGTTGGAAATGACGTTTACCGTTCGTCTATTACCGCATGCATCGTTCTGTGGATTATTATCCAGGTTTATGACCCACCAGTTAATGCCATTGGATCTATCTCTTCAGCTCCAGCCTTAGAAGACTATACATCGTAGTTTCTAGGAAAATAGGCCATTCAGTAACATCAAATTCATCATGACATTCACCCACATCTACTTTTGTATCATCATCTGTCTAGCATCTAGCACCTTACTAGTAAATATCCATACCTCTACCCCAAGATATTTTCACCAGTAACCAAAACATCTCACCCAAAAATATATACCCAAACCCTCCTCACTGATCCAACCCATTAAACTCAATCAACCTCTTCACAACCTCAACCACCTTATCCGCCGTCTTCGTCTGATCACCACCCCCTGCACCACTACCACCACCATTAGGCTGATCAATCCTCATGGCAATAATCTCATCCAGCATCATCCGCAACCTGGACACCAAAACACCGATCCGAGCCCATCCGCGCAGCCGTAACCATCCATCGACGATTAAGCCGCGACCTGCGGTGTCGAGGTCAATGGATCCGCAGAAGAGGAGGAGGGAGTAGGCGTTGAAGGCTATATATCACATTAGTATATTTGCTTCATAGGTATGGTATAGTAGAGGAATTATTTTGGGGGCAACTTACGCGTCAAATCACGAATAAACACCTTACTCGTGGCCATTTTGGTAAAGTAGCTGAGATATGCAGATGAGCTAGGGTACGATTGGGCCGAGAAGCAGACGGAGGAAGGATGGATGAAGACGCGGCCATTCTCTTGGTTGAAGTATTTGATTGTTCGTGCGTCCGGGTCGATTTCCACGGTGCCTGTGACGGAGCTGGCGAATTTCTTGTCGGGGAAGGAGATTTGTGCGATTTGAGGTTGGAAGGCGCCGGCGATTAGGGCGCGGAGGAGGGGTTTGTTGGTTGCGTTGCGGTTCCAGTGGGAGGATGAGTCTGAGGAGGAGTAGTTGACGGGGAGGAGGCCGGCGTCTTTGAGGGAGGTGAGGAGTTGGGATTTGTTGGAGGAGATGTCGCGGAGGGTTTGGTGGGAGAGGAAGTTGGCGGAGCACCAGGATTGGGTTTGCCAGTAGCCTTGGGCGTTGACGCGGTCGGACCATTGTTGGTAGGCGAGGAGGTCAGTGAGAAGGTCGCCGTCGGCGCCTTTGGAGAAGGAGGCCTTTGCGGCGTTGGCTTCGTCGCGTTTCTCGCGCGGGGAGACGAACGGGCTCTTGACGGTTAGGATGGCGGAGATGGTGACGCAGGCGTCGATGCAGCTGAAGATGGAGCCGTAGACCATCAGCTTTGCGCAGCGAAGATCCGCTGGGATCATGGAGAGGTAGCGGCCCAGGGCGGTTAGTTTGTCGTGGTCGAGAGCGCCGACGCGGTGGAGGAAGTCGAGGGCTCCTTCGACGGCGGTGCTTTCGGGTGGGGTGATGGTGTTGGCTAGGAAGGTGGCGACGTCGTTGATGCCCTTCATGGCTTTGACGGATAGGCAGAGCTGCTCGAGGGGTACTCGACGGATTTCGGGGTCGGGACGCTGTGCCATGTTTGCCTCTGCTTTGCGGGTGTAGAGCTTGTAGCATGTACCGGCGCGGACACGACCGGCTCGACCACGTCGTTGTTTGCAGGCTGCTTGGGATGCCCATACTTCTTGCAGTCGGACGATGTTGTCGCGGGGGTCGTAGCTTGTTTCTTTGACTCGGCCGGTGTCGATGACGGCTACGATATCCTCGATTGTGATGGATGTTTCGGCAACGTTGGTTGCTGCGATGACCTTGCGCTTGCCCTTGGGAGGGCTGAGGAAGACGCGCCGTTGTTCAGCTGGGAGGAGAGATGCGTGAAGGGGGAGTGGGTGGGCGTTGGGGATTCTCTTCACAGCGTTCAGGCACCGTTCGATCTCCATCGTTCCGGGAAGGAAGATTAGGATGCCTCCTGGCTGGTCGCCTAGCTGGGCGTCTATGTATCGAACTGTGGAGGCAATCAACTCATAGTTGATTCCCATTCCGAGACTGCGGAGGACCTTGCCAAGGGACTCGTCAGCTTGGGCGGATGAGACTGCGTCTTCTTCCTCGTAGTCGCGTTCAGAGAACTCAGGGTAGAACCCTGTGTCGCGGATGATATCGTCTAAGTAGTTATCTTGGACGGGGAAGGTCCGTCCTGGGATGTTAACAAATCCAACGGACTTGCTACCGCCGAAGTAGTTCATGAAGATGTCGGCATCGAGAGTGGCACTCATGAGGATGACCTTGATGTCTTTCCGATAGCGAAGGACGTCTCTCAACAGAGCCAGAAGAAAATCAGTGTCGAGACTCCGTTCGTGTACCTCATCCACCACGACGTGGGTGACATCCGCGAGAGAGCTTGCAACATTACCGTCGGGGCCGCTGCCAGATTGCATGCGACGGAGCAGAACACCAGTGGTGACAAATGTGATCTTCGTTGTGCCTGCCTTGGCCTTCGACTCGCCTCGGATGATGTATCCGACCTCGTCACCAACCGACGCACATCGCTCATCGGATACGCGATCTGCGAGACCCAAGGCAGAAATTCTGCGAGGTTGGGTACAGATAATGTTGGCGGCAGCGCCAAGGTCTCGCTTGATCAGATCATCAAGCAGGAATTGGACGGACTGGGTACTCTTTCCACTACCGGTCTCACCAGAGATGATAGTAACCTGGTACTTGTTCACGGCTTGAATGATAGCGTCCTGTGTGTTCCAGGCTGGAAGAGCTTGTCGTTTCCTAGTCATCTCTTGCTGGGCCTTGGTTGTCTGCTTCGCTTCCCAGGCTTCTCTCAGCGCGACGCTTTGCGGCGAGCCCGCCTGCCAGTTCACGTCTCTGCCCTTCTTGCGCGATTGGCGAACAGGGAGTTGAGATACAGATCCGGTGGCAGTTGGAGAAGCAGAAACTGTCGAGATATCCCTCAGACGCCCTGGATTCTCCATAACTTCCGGCAGATGGACCTCCAGCCAGTCCAGGATATTGAATATCATGGGCTCACCGAAGAAGTTCTCCTCAGAGTACTGTACCACCTGGCGTATAGCGCTCAGGCGTATGTAAGCTGGAATGCCCTTGGCCAGAATAGAGATAACCGGGACAGATGAGGGATAGTGCGTAGAAGGCCTTTGGAAACGGAATGTCAAAGATTCTGGTAAGTCTGATCCCTCACTCTTTATTTCACAGACTTTAGGCGAAACTCGCTTGTATCGTTCGCCGAAGATAGCCTCCAGGGTTTCTTGCTCTTCTGCCCATAGATCCTCTTCCGCAATGGGCGAAGAGTCGGCAGCAGAACTCGACCCGTGCACCAGTGTGCTTTGGAGGAACTCTGCTGCCGCAAGTTCATCACCCTTTTTGCTATCCAATGTGCGCGAGCACAGGTCAGCAGGGTAGCCGATGGAGGCGAGGCGTTTGATTCTGGCCTCTCTTGCAAGATCATCGCTGGCAAGGCTCACACCGGCGGAGTACCCTTCAGGTAGACACCAACGCGGAAGGTCATCTTCCGGGACATATATAAGAAGCCATTCCAGGACCTCCTCCCGGTCCTTGCATGTGCTTGTCGCCTCCTCAACGTGGCTGCGCCGGAAGCCCAGCTGAGTGAGCTCATCGACAATAGATTTGCGTTCGCGTTCCGGTATCTCCACGTTATAAGGATTCCAAATGGCGTGCTGCCGCAGTATACCCTCGATTTCACGGCGCACTTTGCCCCCAAGGTCGACCTTTGGTGCTTGCGACCAGATCTTCTTGCCCCTGTTATCACCGCTAGAGCCCAGTCCCAAGTCAACCGTCTTCTCTGCCTCCTTCGCCTGTGTCTTTTCGCGCTCTTTCCGCTTCTTCTCCAAGTCTGCAGCTGCACTTTCTCGCTCCTGCTTGGCGAGGAACGGATCTGCCTCGTACATCCATCCTTTCCCTCCCTTGGTATCTGCCGATTTGATCTCCGTAAAATCCTCTTTCCAAAGCTTCTTATAGGTGGGCGGAAGCATCATATGAATATTCTTCATGTTACAGACTCGAAATAGGGCATAAGCAGCAGCGAAATGGCGCGCCTCTAGCGCCGTTGGTTGCGCGGCGAGATGCTTGTGGGACGGAGGGGGTTTCATAGGAGGGAGTACGACAGTTTCTCGAGTCTTCGGATCGATGCGCTTCAGAATAACGGAGGATACAAAGCCCTCCGAGACTTTAATCTGCGATGCGATAGAATTGTCAGCATGACGAGGCCGTTCATCTTTAAATACTTAAATAGACGAAAATGGGCCATCATCGGCCATACCATTGTATACTCAGGCTTCTCCCACTTCTGCTTCTGGCAGTGCTCCGCAAGCATATTGACCGGCAGCTTTCCGGTCCATGATGCGCCTCCAATAACCTCCTTTACTGAGGGTTTCTTAGGCTCCTCCGTAGAAGCCTGCGCTTTCTTCGCTGTCTCCGCCGATCGTTCGGCGGCAGCTTTGGCAGCTTTGGTCCCCGGTTTGGGGGCTCCTCCACGGGCGTCGTTCTTTTTCTTGGGGGGCATGATTCCAAAATGACAGATAGTCTAAAGCAGACGCCCGTGGAGTAACTCAGGCCGTTGAGGAGAATCCAAAAAGGTACCTAGAGCACTCCTGGTATCGAAAAGGTAGCAACGGGAGTTTCTGAGACGATTCCGCGGTTGGCTTGTCCCGCACTAGGCCGCTTTGATCCTTTGGGTAGGGCTGCGGGGAGTCGCCGATGATCGCATTGCATTGCTTCGGCCTCTCCGCATCATGAGCAAGAGCTCTGAATCTCACCTACAACAGCTCTGTACCACCCACTCGTTGTGCTCATCAGCTAGCAACTCTACTACAATGACTGAATCTCCAACTCTGGAGCTCGACAGTCCCACAGAACAGGATGTCGCGCCCGCAGAAGCGCAGCAGCTGCCACCCAAGCCAGCGAAACGAGACGCTTGTACGCTCTGAACAAACATCAACTCATCTCCCATCCCTCCCCTTGCATAACAGACGCAGGAACCACTAACTGATCATTCCTATCTCAGTTACAGAACTACTTGCCCCGAAACCTAAACATCCCAAGCATGGCGATCCCAGCACCTCCTCCAAGCACATTCCTCCTACCTCTAAAAGGCGAGCCATCGGTGGCCCCCGAGACGGCCTAGGCGTCTATATCACGAAACCAGAATCCTTCCCCTCCAACGTAGTAGTATACTACGACGACGACTTCGTCGTTATCCACGACATGTTCCCTAAGGCAACCCTCCACCTCCTACTTCTCCCACGAGATCCCCAGAAAACGCGCCTCCATCCATTTGAAGCCTTCGAGGACGTCGAGTTCCTGGCAAAAGTGAAGAAAGAAACGCAGAAACTCCGCAAACTCGCTGCTGGAGAGCTCAGACGAATACACGGGAAATACTCGGCGCAGGATAAGGAAAGGCAAGAGGCGCTTAATGTAGAACCACCGCTGGAGGAGCTGCCGCCGGGGAGAAACTGGGAGCAGGAGATCGTGTGTGGGATTCATGCGCATCCCTCCATGAATCACTTGCATGTGCATGTTATCTCCGTGGATCGGTTCAGCGATCGTCTAAAGCATAGGAAACATTACAATAGCTTTTCTACACCGTTTTTCGTCAATATTGATGATTTTCCGCTCGCGCCAGATGATGTGCGGAGGCAGCCGGATGAACAAGGCTACTTGCGGAGGGATTTTGTCTGTTGGCGCTGTGGGAAGCAATTCGGAAACAAATTCGCCGAGCTGAAGCTACATCTAAAGGAGGAATTTGATGCATGGAGAAAGCTGTGAGGCGCAGGAACTGCCCGCATGCATGCAGGATGGTATAAGCGACTGGGAGCTAGAGGCACGTTCTGCCATGTTTGGTTGAGCTTCAATTGGCACCTGATGGAGTGATGCGGGGAACCGACGATGCGGTCCCCCTGGCTGATTGCGTGAGCTTCGATTATAAATATCAATTTGAAGTAAATGTACACGCAAATCCAAGGCAGCAATAACTCTCGGTGGGGCCGCATTTTCAGTGACCCTTTCCCAAGTCCGCTAGCCTTACTCCAGAGTCGCTGAGAGAACCAACCAAGGTTCCCTCCGACTCCAAGCCCTTCCCAATATCTCCTCACAAATCACCCAAAGACTCAGCACTGCAAGGGCCATTTAGGCACGGTTCTTAGACTTGGCGCCACCCTTGACCTTCCTGGCCTCAGGACGGTTGATGTGGTGAGCGGGAATCCACTCGGCGTTGTAGGTAGTGGCAGACGAGACAGCAGGGCTGCTGGGAGCCTCAACGGGGGCCTCCTTCTTGGAGGCACCAGCGGACTTCTTGTACTCGGGACCCTTTGCAGCACGGCGCTTCTGGGGGAAGTAGGGAGCAATCCAGACGGCGTAGAAGAAGTAGACGACGCCAGAGAAGCAAGCCAGGAGGAAGAAGTACAGGAAAAGGCTAATGATAATCGGGTTAGCTTGATCCCATCGACGAGCTGTGAGAATGTGCCTTACATCTGAGGGTCAAAGATGCTGGTCTCGGGCTCAACGACGCTGACAGTGCCGTTGTAGGCGTACAGAGTGAAGAGGTTGCCATTGGTATCAGAGATAACGGAAGCGAGAGTAAGCAGCAAGTCCTGGGGGTGCATTTCGGTGGCGAAGCTGTAGCTGACGCTCTCCTGCTGACCGGCCGGGATCTCAACGCTGTAACGGTGCGCAGTCAGGTTGCGAACAATTTGGCTGCTTTCTCCTTCAACCGCCGACAAGGAACCTCCAATGAAATTCACAGTCACAGGAACTTCATCCTCATTGGCGAAAGTGATCAGCGCCTCAGTCGGGTAGCCATTGACAAGCTTGACACCGAAGATCTCCTCGGAGGCAGGGAAGGAGGCGTGGGCCGTGACAGAAAGCAATTGGGTTTCAGGGAGATCATCCTTCTCAGCAGCATCCTAATAAGATGCGACATCGCGTCAGCAACTCAATTGACTGTAAAACGATAGGAGTCACGCGAGTGGGAACATACCGCCGCGAGACTGCCGCCAATCAAGGCCTGGACAGAAAGGAGAGCCAGGGACAAGAAACCAAAGCGACCCATTGTGAACGAACCGGGAGTTGGGGACGAGAAGAGAAAGGGTGAGGGTGAGGAGAGGGGGGAAAGGGTGGGGAAGAGAAAGACCGAAGAGGCGATCGGACCAGAGATGGATGGAGGAAGAAGAGAGGGAGAAGTAAGTAAGAGGGAGAGAAGCAGCAAGAAAGAGAGGAAGGGGAACCGGGCAATTTCTCCACGTAGCCTCAATACTGCCTCAGGTTGGCTGGGATGGTTCCCCATGCGGCGGGCTGACTCAGCCCCAGCTCTCCCCGGCCGGCGGCTCGTGACTGGTTGGCGCCTCATGCGGCTGTTTTGATGGTGACTTGCTCTAGGCTTGTGCCAGTCCAGTTCACTTGTCTCTGTAGATCTCGCACTTTCTTCGTGACTGTACAGTAAATTCACTCCCGATAGTATTGGCTTCCCCGCTGTCTGCCCAATCTTCTACTCTTTTTGGCTCCATAATCTCGATCGTCGCCGTTTCAGCCGCCTACCATCAACCCTTCCCCATTCTCGGTGCTTCTATAGCCTGGCGCTTCCCAAGACCTCTCTCTCACTTGCTATCCCTCTTAAACCATTAGTGCCCAAACCTTACCTAGTCCATCATGACAGCCCCGGAATATCTCGAGCGATATAAACAGGTGGCATCTATAGAACAAGATAAGAATATCCTAATCGAGGTAGCCGCTCAGCATCACAGTATCAAGTGCTCCATGTTGACGTTACACTCCCTGCACCTAGGAACTTTTGCAGCGTGTGACAGAGCTGGAGGCTGCCTTCCAGCAAGAGAAACTCGATCATGAACGTGAAACGCGGTTTAATCGTGATATCCAGCTTCATGAAATGGAGTTAATGCAGCATATCGCGAGGATCAAGGCCATTATGGTGGGACCTTCATAGTTCTGCAGCTTGGTCTGTGCTAATGATGCCCGTCCGCTTTTAGGACCGCGAGCCCTTTATAGTCGTGCTACTAGATGGAACTGGCATCATCTTCAAGGACGAGTTCCTACAAAGGGGAGAAGAAGGTGGCAAAGTTGCAGCCAATAAGCTTGCTGTCGCCCTGAAAGACTATGTTGCCAGCAATTTCCCGGGCCTTGATAATCCAAAAATAATCACGAGGATGTACGTTAACTTGAAAGGTCTGAGTGAGATGTGTGTCCGAGGCGTCATTAGCACCGACCCAGCATCGATCGAGGGCTTTGCTAAGGGCTTCAACAATGGCCATCCACTGTTCGACCTTGTGGATACTGGACTAGACAACGCACATGACAAGATCGCAGGTACGCATCAAGACTTCCTTGTCCAAGATACTTGCATTGGTATGTTACTCAGGACGATGCGCTGACCTGCTGTCTGCCATCTCTAGAGGCCTTCAAAGTCAACCTGTATAACTGCCACTGTCATCAAATCTTCTTAGGATGCGCCGACACCAACGCATATGCCCAGATCTTGGTGGACATAATGGAAGACATTGACCTAGTAGGAAGAGTAACCTTGATCGAGGGCATCACCTTTGAAAAAGATCTGGCCAAGATCAAGGCCGCATACAGAGTCTCTCAGTTCCCAGAAATCCTTCGAAATACAAAAATAACACCTGTCTGGGCCCCGTGGAAAGCCGCAGTAGCGTCCAAACCTCCTCCAGCTCTTACTCCATCGCCGAAACCAGGCGCAGTGCCACTGTCACGAACCTCGACCAGCACGTCAACGAACGCTAGTACGTCTATGTCTTCCACTTCTGCCAGGCCCTCAACTCCTGGGGAATTTCAAGTGGTGCAATCGAAATCGGTTACCCCCGCACGACCCAAGATCGTTGAACGAAACAAGTACGGTCAACGTGTAGACCGGGTTGACTTTAAAAGCATCCCGCGAGAAGAGATGAATCGCCTGAAGAAACTAAAATTGTGCAACCTTCATTACCTCCTAGGAGAATGCACAATTGACAACTGTCAGCATGACCACTCGCGCAGGTTGACCAAAAGTGAACTTTCAGTTTTAACTGCTATCGCCCGCATGACACCCTGCCGATATGGGCTAGATTGCGATGACCCGGAATGTACATATGGGCATCGGTGCCCTCACGCAGAGCCCGGGAAAAAAGATTGTTACTGGGGTTCTAATTGTCGATTTGATCCTGCCGCGCACGGCATCGACACCAATATCGTTAAGTTAACCAAGGTCTAATAGCAGGGGTAGGATAATTGGGGAAGCGAGCTCCATTTTCTCTTTCAAATTTGCAGCGTGAATCAGGACCTGCATTGCTCTAGCACAAAAGTTGTGTTTTCCTTTGGCCTTTGTAATGGCTTCGCGCAGATAAGATTGGACATTTTTTTTTTCACAAGTTTTGGCCCATCAACACCAGAATTCTTGTTTTGCTGGCGTGCTTCCTACACTTGATTCTATACTACCTTGCACATGGTACATATCTTGATGGATATCCCTAAATTCGGTACTCAATCTGTGAAATTTTCTATCAATATGACATTTTCGACTATCTTTCACCCGCTGACTATATCCAATGCATTCTATATCTTCGTCGTAGTACTGCCATCTTTTGACTCTGGTAGTATTCAACATTACTTCAATATGTCAGCTTCTGCACATCACTGGATAAAGGCACGGATTCATCATTCTAGTATCGTATACACAAAACCGTGTCCCCAAGACTCACGCCCTTAGATAACCCTAGCACCAAAAGCAAAACAAAGTACCCTATGTATACAACAACAAACACCACCGTTACGCCCAGAAAGCAGTTTTGCATGCAAAAAGTGTATTACGAAATAGTAGTCATGAACATAGCAAAGCGCCTCTCCCAGCCAAAGCAGTCGTCATGACTACAGCCATTCTCGTCATCTTCGTTATTAATGGTGGTGTTCTCCGTATCAGGGCGATGTTTGCAGAGGACGCCATATTCTTGGATGCAGCAATTGAAAGGTCTGCATGAAACTGGACCTATGTCTTGCTTTCCGTCGTGCAGGGCCGCTCTCTTGCGCTCCTCCAGATCGCCCCATAGGATGAAGAGCTTTTCTCGGAGTTCCTTTAGGTCGTGTTGGTTTCGTCTCAGACTAATGGACGTAGCAAGATTTAAAGTTAGAAGATCGGTCTCACGAGACTTTCATACTTTATGTCAATTATGCAAGGGGTGATCGGCAACACTTACTCGACTGCAGTTAATCCCAATAGATACTCCGCGTCCGGGCCAGCTACAAATAACCTCATCTGTTCTTTTGCTTGGCCTGCGGGTGGAGGAGGGACGCTTTCCACGAGCAGACAAAAGCGCCACTCCCATCTAATGAACCGGTCGGGGTCTCTCTGGGAGGTTCCCTCGCCGGAGGAGTCTTCGGGGACGGAGAAGTCTTCCAGTCGTGGGGGGAAGAAATCGACCACACGAACTGTGGTTCGGTAGCAGAAATTCTGGAAAGGGAAGCGGTACTGTATGTTGTCATATGAGATGTTGTCATGGAGTTTGTTGGAGAGGATCGCTTCGAGGGACATTGTAGGAACAGACGGGTTGCCGGCTATGACTGTCATGGACTGTCAATCAATTGTACAATACCACAGTGGCTATTAACCAGACAGCATGACTCACTGTTCTCATTTGGTGCATATCGCTTGCTGCTTGCTGCTGTGATGGGAACTTGGCCTTCTTCCACCTTTTCGGCTCTCTTTCGCTGTTTCTTGGTGCTTCTCTTGGGAACTTGCTGAGCTTCGTTTTCCGGTTCCCGCTTCCGAGGATTCGCTTTCCAGTATTCCGTCCTACGCTGTAAAAGTTGGTCGACAAATGTATCTTTGCGACGGTCCAAGGTATGTACATTCACTGAATTTGGATTCGTGCGGTTTGTGTGAACACTGGCCTCTAAGATCCCATTGATGCGGCTGCGCTTGACATGCACATTGTATAGCTGGATGAGATCGTTATTCTTTAGGTGTTGGCGTGCATACGATGCATGGGGTTCCCAGAGGGTGATTGTGAGAGTCATTCGTCCAACAGGTCCTGTCCATCTCTTCTTGGGTCTTTTTTGATAACCGTAGACATCTCCTTCAGTGCCAAAGTCATTGTCACCGGCAGCGTCTATTCGGCGGTCTTCGAGACCATCGTTGGCCGTGTAATCGGTGAAATAGAGGACGACCTTTTCACTGTCGTTGGTATAGATCTTGACAATTTCCCCAACGAGATCAACATAGTTTCGCTCTACAATATCCTTGACAAGTGAGAGCTTCTTGTGCGGATAAGGCTTGGAATTTGGAATTGCAGCCTGGACAATATAGGGGCCACGCGGAGTATCCTGGGCTGGGGCTTTGCGGAAGCCATCGACCGCAGGGAGGCTATTCATCAAATTTAGAGCATGTACCTTCTCCGAAGGCGATGGCTCAAAGTGTGTAGGGCCACAAAGGGGTGCAGGACTAGACGTGGGATCCGGGTCCAAGCGAAAGATTGCCCAGGGTACTTCTCTGTCCTGGGCAGCGACTCCCAGCGGGTCTCCTTTGAAATTCCTTACCTGCAGTCAAAGGGTCAGTCTGTCACCGATAAAGGAATTAAGTCATGCCTCACGAACCCACAGATCTCGTATCAGGATGACATCGCGTACTTGGACGGGAGGTAAATGGCTCTCATTGTCTTTGAAATATTTGATTTTCAACCCGTCCCATGTATGTCCATTGTCAAGACCTGAGTCCTTGATGGTAAAGGTGATACAGCTGGATGAGCCTCTAGACTTCCAAATCCCACCGAAGACGTCGACTACGACGCCAATGACACTCACTCTGCCCTGCGCAGAGAGCGCAGTGGACACATCCACGAAGCGAGACATGGTGTGGAAATTACGTTATGTCGCACAATTCATCTTGAAGCCACGGTAGAACAGGGCCTGATGCATATAATGCATCCACTGCAAGACTGAAACGCCGTGAGTTCGGATCCCTTGGCTGTTAATATAGATAAATAAGTTACTAGAAGTAGTATTGTTGATCGAACTGCGAATAGATCGACGCGGGACCGAGTGGAGCAGTTAGTAGTAATACACGTAAACAACGCATCCACCAGAAGGGCCCGAATTAGAAATGGCTAGCAAGACAGCCGGTTTCCAGAACAGCGTCAGAAGGTTTCTCGATCACAACTGATCCAATATAGATAAAGAAACAAGCAGACGCGTATGTAAGGCAAAGAAATGAGAGGAACCGGCGCCAACTTCGCTTAGGCGGAAGTGGCGCTTGCGGGCGGAGCTGGACGAAAACAGCAAATCAGCGGCGTCCCGTGACTGGGCAATCCCACCTCCGAAGAGCATCAACACTTTTTTCCCCTCCTTCTACCATCTCAGCTTTGCGCTTGTCCTTTCTTCCTTTGTCTAGCCTCTTTCTCTATCCCCTTATTTAGCTCGTTGGGATTCCCATCTCCCACATCTTGCTATTTACTTCAACTTCTTCTTTTCTCCCTCATCTCCTTTTCTCTTCCCCCCATTTCTTAAGCTAGTACACCCGGTTGTGGTGCGCTTTGTTTTCACCCCTCTGTGTCCCAAGCAACCATGGCCGAGCGCTACATCCCCGAGCATCGTCGCACTCAGTTCAAGGCCCGGAACCAGTTCCGGCCTGACGAGCTCCGTCGTCGTCGTGAGGAACAACAGGTTGAAATCAGAAAGCAGAAGAGAGATGAGAATTTGGCCAAGAGGAGAGGTATCCAGACCCGCGATGGCGGCATTGGTGTGGGCGGCGGCGTAGCTGCCGAGAGTGACGATGAGGCCAGCGCCATCGAGAGTGAGGTATGCAGTTTCTGCATTTCTTTTTGTTTCTATATCCATTGTTCGATCTCTTTGTTCCTTTCCCGACCGGGAGCTGCGCCCGTCGGCTGCCCGTTTTCGATCTTTCTTTCTGGTCAGTCTTGCTTGTCCAGATGCGTCCCAGTGAGAGCTTTTCACCGCTTTGCCGCCGGGCGAGCCCTCACTCGGCCTTGACTAGACAAGCACACGACCAGCATCATCAAGACTACCATTGCGCTCAGCAAAGATGTGTTCATTCCTGTGCAAATTAGCTAATGGATGGTTTTCTAGCTTAATGTGGAGCTCCCCGAGATGGTGAAGGGCGTCTTCTCCGATCAGATCGACCAGCAGATCCAAGCCACCACCAAGTTCAGGAAATTGCTCTCCAAGGAGCGCAACCCTCCCATTGAGCGTGTCATCGAGACCGGTGTCGTGAGCCGCTTTGTTGAATTCCTCCGATCCCCCCACACTCTTGTTCAGTTTGAAGCCGCTTGGGCTTTGACCAACATTGCCTCCGGTTCCGCCCAACAGACCCAGGTCGTTATCGAGGCTGGTGCTGTGCCGATCTTCTGCGAGCTCCTGAGCAGCCCTGAGCCCGATGTTCGTGAGCAGGCCGTCTGGGCCCTTGGTAACATTGCGGGTGACAGCCCTCAATGCCGTGACTTTGTCCTTAACGCCGGTGCTCTGCGTCCTCTGCTGAACCTCATCAACGATGGCCGGAAGCTGAGCATGCTGCGCAACGCTACCTGGACCCTGAGCAACTTCTGCCGCGGCAAGACGCCTCAGCCTGATTGGAACACCGTATGTCATCCTCTCTTCTCATGCTAACGAGCTGTTGTCGCTAACAATGAATTCCAAAGATTGCCCCCGCTCTTCCTGTCCTTGCTAAGCTCATCTACATGCTTGATGATGAGGTCCTGATCGATGCTTGCTGGGCCATCTCCTACCTGTCCGATGGCGCCAACGACAAGATCCAGGCTGTCATCGAGGCCGGCATCCCCCGCCGTCTTGTCGAGCTCCTCATGCACGCCTCGACCTCAGTCCAGACCCCCGCTCTCCGGTCGGTTGGTAACATCGTCACTGGTGACGATGTCCAGACCCAGGTCATCATCAACTGCGGTGCTCTTCCCGCCCTCCTTGCTCTGCTGAGCTCCACCAAGGACGGTATCCGTAAGGAGGCGTGCTGGACTATCTCCAACATCACTGCTGGTAACTCCAGCCAGATCCAGGCCGTCGTCGACGCCGGCATTATCCCTCCCTTGATCAACCTGCTGGCGAACGGTGACTTCAAGACGCGTAAGGAGGCCTGCTGGGCCATCTCCAACGCCACCTCCGGTGGTCTGCAGAAGCCTGATCAGATCCGCTACCTTGTGTCCCAGGGATGCATCAAGCCCCTGTGCGACCTTCTTGCTTGCCCTGACAACAAGATCATCCAGGTTGCTCTGGACGGTCTGGAGAACATCCTTAAGGTCGGCGAGATGGACAAGGAGGCTGGCCAGGCCGAGGCAAACGTCAACCGCTATGCCCTGTTCATCGAAGAGGCCGGTGGTATGGAGAAGATCCATGACTGCCAGAACAACGCCAACGAGGAGATCTACATGAAGGCGTACAACATCATCGAGAAGTACTTCTCTGATGAGGACGAGGCTGGTGACATTGATGAGGTTGCTCCTCAGCAGACCCAGACTGGATTCGCCCTCGGCACCACGCAACAGCAGGGCGGATTCAACTTCGCCAACGGTGGTGACTCCATGGATATGTAAAAACAAAAAAAAGACAAAAACAAAATTGACACGCATTTTACTGGCAATGAAACAATGACCCCACATGAGAGATCTGCACCCATCTATTTCGATTCTTTCTCGCTAGATCTACACCTGGCGGTCACCATGCCGCCATGTGGACCCTCAACCTTGAGTTCGTGGAGGCTCTGGGACGAGATTATCACTTCATTATTCCAGGCTTCTCGTGACTCAAGAACGGCGGTGTCTAGTGTGGCTTCTCGCCATCCTTGGAG